TTATTCTCGTAATGTTACGACTTTATTCTCATAATTTTACAACTTTATTCTCGTAATGTTACGACTTTATTCTCGTAATGTTATGACTTTATTCTCGTAATGTAACAACTTTATTCTCGTAATGTTACGACTTTATTCTCGTAATATTACAACTTTATTCTCGTAATGTTACGACTTTATTCTCATAATTTTTACTTTATTCTCATAATTTTACAACTTTATTCTCGTAATGTTACGACTTTATTCTCATAATGTTACAACTTTATTCTCGTAATTTTACAACTTCATTCTCGTAATGTTACGACTTCATTCTCGTAATGTTACGACTTTATTCTCACAATTTTACAACTTTATTCTCGTAATGTTACAACTTTATTCTCGTAATTTTACAACTTCATTCTCGTAATGTTACGACTTTATTCTCGTAATGTTACAACTTTATTCTCGTAATGTTACGACTTTATTATCGTAATGTTACTTTATTCTCGTAATATTACAACTTTATTCTTGTAATGTTACGACTTTATTATCGTAATGTTACTTTATTCTAGTAATGTTACAACTTTATTCTCACAATATTACAGCTTTATTTTGGTAATATTACGACTTTATTTTGGTAATATGACTTTATTCATGTAATATTACAACTTTATTCTAGAAACGTTACAACTTTATTCTCGTAATGTTACAACTTTATTCTGTTAATATTACGACTTTATTCTCGTAATTTTCTACTTTATTCTCATAATGTTATGACTTTATTCACGAAATAGAAGAAAAAAATAATCTCTAGCCTGGCCCTAATACTCCGTCGTATTAACCATACATATAAACAGAGTTTTATGGGGCCCCCAGGAACTTGGGGCCCTAGGCAACTGCCTAGTATTGCCTCATGGTAAATCCCCCCCTGACTTTGATACATTTGTGTTAAGGGGGGGGTTGACCCCCAGGTTGAAGGATTTAAACGCTCTTAAAAATCCTCATCTGTCATCATCCGGCACCTTTTTTTTTTCTGGTTTCCACAAAAACTATTTATTTGACAGAGATAGTGTACATTAATAAGCATTCCCGCAAATGCACCAGAATCTACCTAAAAACACAACAGTAAGAATTTTACAGTGAAAATATTAATATAAAAAGAAATAAAAGCTATAATTCTAATAAACTTGTTTAAAAATACAGAATGAATGTTCGCTAGACTACAGATTTTAGGTTAAAAGGTTAATTTAGGTCAATGTTTTGATAATTTCTCTTCATTTAGATTCTACCGGCACTAAATAAACCGTTCAGGATAAAATTAGCTCCTCTCTCTACAGGGCTGCTATAACTCAGGGCGCTCCCCGGTGGAGGGGGGGGGTCTGCTGGGGTGTAAATGACGAGCTTAATCAGGTTGTTCAGCCCTAAACGCATCCAGGAGCTCAGGGCCGAGTGCTGCTCGGCTCCGGCTCTTCCATTAACAGCTCTCTGCAGGGTAAGTGCTGGAAGTAATCCTCCACACCCGGATTCGGCTCTCCTGCTCTGCGATGGATGAAATCACATCACAAGTTGGCTGTTTCTTTTAAAATGAGTCACTTTGCTTCATGGCGTTGTGTAAACACAATAAAGGACTTATTAACATAAATGACTTTCATTCAGAACATTTTACTTTCTGTTCATTGGCTTCCTCTGTCCTCCGCCTCATGGATGGAGAAAAGGGATATTTTAGGATAAAAGCAACATTTCAACCTTCAAAACAAACAAAAGATTTATTCCAGCACAGTCAGTCAGAGGTAACGGATATATTTTCATAAAAATGCTATTTTTGACGTATAAAATCAGATTAAACTGTAATTTTTAAGAGTTAGGATAACCTTCATTCTCATTTATTGAATTATAGAGATAAGTCTCTATTACTTTCTGTAATAACAAAGCAATAAAGCCCAGATTAGATGCTTCTGAATCTGTAAGATTGATCAAAATGTACTTTTACCACATTTGACTTTTTTAGTTGAGGAACATTAACTAGTGCTGCTCTTACCTGAGTAAAAATGTCTGAATTTTCTGCCCTTCCTGATTAACTTTACTGAAAATAAAACTATCGATTTGACTAAAAATATCCGAGACATGATTAGACTTTCTGTTAGAGTGAGACCTCCTGTCTATGCACCAGCTTTGTTACATACAGTAGATATCTACACTGTTTTCACTCACTGTATTTACAATAATGACTGTAAGTATCATAGTCATTTAAATATCGGCATTTGGACACAGCTTTATATATTTTCTCTTTAAGGAGAGACAATTTTAAAATATTGAATAAGTTATGTTAGTTACTCCATATCCAAGTAGTCTACCAAACACTTTTATACTCTGTTTAAAGTAATTTCTTTTGCTTTTACTTTTATTTATTGAAAACTGAAGAGAGAAGGGAAATTTGAAAAAAAAAAGCAAATATTTCTCCAAATTTTTATTTTTTCCAAATATTTTAGTTTTAAATGTTATTTTTTCTAATTATTTGTGACATCGTAACTTTTTTAGTGACAGATTTCGGTGGTCTTTGCGGCGACCAATTGAATTGCTGTTTTTTAAGGTCCACAAAGGAGACTGATTCCTATTGGTCGACGCACAGACCAATAGGAATGTGTTCCAGATAGAGGTGAGAATGGGTGTAAATTTACTAGCATTACTTTAAAAAAGAAAAGTTTGGAAGCCAACGTACCAGAGATGAAGTCTGAGGTCTGCAGCATGGTTTGCTCCAGAAGCGACTGATGTGCATCGTTAGAAATAAGCGTCATGTTAAAATACTGAAGCAATTTCTGACAGGAAGTTTGATCATCCTAATGCAAACGTCTCCAAGCATAACGCTAAAATCATTTCTCAGTTCACAGGAATTGGAGTACGAACTTGTTTCCTCGCCAAGGATGTTCTAGAGAAGAACTCAGGAAAGTCTGGACTCGGGGAGAACGGGAGCATGCAGAATAAATCTGGGTCAACTGGAACAGAAGCGTACTGATGACATCACCATACGCTCAGCTCGTCTGGAGCTGCATTTCACCTCCTGTTATTAATAGTCTCTAGATAGTACTAATTTATTACTTTTTTTCATTTAGTGGCGGAATAATAATGAACACAGTCAGATAAACATAAATCAAATGAACATTTTGCCAAATAAAACAAAAAAAACCTCCATCAGAGCCACAGGTATTTCACACACGGCTATGTAGAGAGAGGGCTGCTGCAGACGGGCTAACGTTAGCCCTGGCTGCTGCAGACGGGCTATCGTTAGCCCTGGCTGCTGCAGACGGGCTATCGTTAGCCCTGGCCGCTGCAGACGGGCCAACGTTCGCCCTGGCCGCTGCAGACGGGCCAACGTTAGCCCTGGCGACTGCAGACGGCTAACGTTAGCCCTGGCCGCTGCAGACGGGCCAACGTTTGCCCTGGCCGCTGCAGACGGGCCAACGTTAGCCCTGGCCGCTGCAGACGAGCTAACGTTAGCCCTGGCCTCTGCAGACGTTAGCCCTGGCCGCTGCAGACGGCTAACGTTAGCCCTGGCCGCTGCAGACGTTAGCCCTGGCCACTGTAGACGGGCTAACGTTAGCCCTGGCCGCTGCAGACGTTAGCCCTGGCCACTGTAGACGGGCTAACGTTAGCCCTGGCTGCTGCAGACGGGCTAACGCCTGCAGCAGCTAACAATGGGCTGGTTTTATTCTATTCTGGTCTATTTTGGTCCCCCAAAGAATGTATCAGTGCAGATGTACCACAGAGTCTTGTCCTGAGGAGGGCGCTCTTCTATGTTGGGCCACGGGTCATTTGGTTGTTTGGTTTCTCCAATATAAAGATCAAAGTTGTGTTTTGTTTGGTGTTATTAAATATCAACTGTTTCTTCCAACACCCTGGAAAAACACTTCCTGCACACATTGTCATTGTATCGAGCCACTTCCAGAGGCTAAACAAAGTCTGAGAATTATTTAAGCAAATAAACCGATTTGTAGTATGGAGGACCAATCCTGCCATAATTAAAAATAAATAGAAATAAAAAAAATTCTCCAAAAATAAATAAGCTTACAATTAATTGTCCCCCAAAAATACAATAAAAAATAAATGTTTATTTATTTGTTTATTGTATTTTTGCGGGGCTGGTCTGGTCAGGGAACCAGCCGGGGACTGAACGAGGGAACTCGCCCCGGTGACGATATGCTCCCCGTCCGCCGGGTTCCCGGACCAGCCCCGAGTCGACCGAAATCCTGGACGATTTTGAAATTCCCCCCGGAAATTTTTTTTTTTTTAGGTATGAAAAGTAGGACATGTCCAGGAAAAAGAGGACGTCTGGTCATCCTAGTCTGGACACAGACCACGTGAAATTTCAAAATCGTCCAGTGCAGCAGAACAGAGCCGTGAACTCCAGCGGGGGGGGGTTAGGGGGAGCCAGTGGGGGACAGAGCGTCACCTGACCTATGGACGGAGGCTGCGGCCCCATGCTTCCCCCCGCCTGCACGCTAAGGCAGACGAATGGAAGCATACCGTCAGCGGGACGGGTTCAGTCGCTCCGTCCCCGGGTGGCTGCTAGCCAACCAATGGGGAGAAGTTGAGCCCTTAAGACACGCCCCCTCCTCATTTGCATAATGAGGCAGAAATGCAGACAGAAATATAAAAACGACAGGCAGAAATAAATACGGTAAAAAAATTACAAAGGAAGAATAACCCAGACAAAAATATTATAACATGCAAATAAATAAATACTTAAAGAAATAAGTAATAAACAAAAACAGTTTAAGAATATAACGGACAATAAATAAATAAGGTAATTATTATCAAGGCAAATAAACAAAGAAGCTAATTAAAATATATATATATATACATTCATGTCTCACCGCATAATTACATTTCTACCTGCATTTATTTGTTTATTGTAGTTTTGGGGGCAATTATTGTATGTTTATTTATTTTTGGAGCATTTTTTTATTTCTGTATTTATTTTTAATAATGGCAGGATTGGTCCTCCATATTGAATGACACTGACAGTAGCTTAAGAAAGGATTTGCATTTGGAGAACCTTGATAATTGACTTTGTTTTACAAATCAGGGAATTGGTGACAACAGAAGGCTAAAGACGGCGTTATCAGGCGGTGACAAAAGCGACCTACAGTCAATCAAACTGAAGCTAGCTGGATACAGAGCAGACTGCCTGCTGCTTTATGGCTTTTTTGTCCTGATATTTTAATTTGAGGCGATACTTCAGCCATTAGTCAGAGGACTGTTGTAGCATCTGAGGGCAGTAGAAGTATTATTCTATTCAACCCAAAAATAATGAGTTTGGAATCTTAAATGCATGTTTCCTTGGATTTTTTGCCAGCTTTCATCGTCTGGCTATGCAGTGTTTTGTTTCCTCCTTTTTCTGGATCCAATAATCGTATAAAAAATAGTTCTTGGTCTCCGTCTCTGGTTATTCTCGCTCTGAGTGGGTTTTACTGTTGATGTCCAACATGGCGTGCAGCTCCCCAGGCTCGTATCCCAGCAGGCCCTGCAAGTTGCAGACAAAGCGGTAGACATAGCGCTTTCCCGCCGTCTTGCGGATGATGTTTTTGTCGTAGTAGTAGCGTAGGCCTCGGCTCAGTTTCTCATAGTTCATCTTGGGTTTGTTTTTCCTCTTTCCCCAAAGCAGAGCCACCTAAAAAAAAAACAAAAAAAAGACAATTAGTCATCTGGCCACTGGAAAGCAGTCACAATCAGCAATCTCTTTCCTTCATTAGTCTGCAGAATAAATTAGATATTAGAATGAAATTATTTCATTTTATAAATTTTTTTTTCACATCTTTTAAACTTGTGTCTATCACTGTGTGATTTTAGCCACTATGGTATGTTCCAGGATGCTAGACCTGGAGAGAAATATCTGCTGCTGCCATCAACACCTTTGTTTCTAGATGTTGTAATTTGGCCTGTTTTCCAGTGTAGTCCTGTTTCTCTGACTGTGACTAACTGGATGTGCTCTCTTCATCCTCTGACATGACATCCACATCCTGGCTGTGTGTTTCCTGGATTGCCTTTTACAGTTGCCTTTTGTATCTATGCTTCTTTTTCTATGTCTGCTTCTGTCTCCTTGAAACCCAGTGGGCCTCAGCAGATGGCCGCTCACACTGAGCCTGGTTCTGCTGGAGGTTTCTTCCTGTTCAAAGGGAGTTTTTCCTCTCCACTGTCGCTACAAGCATGCTCAGTGTGAGGGATTGCTGAAGAGTCAATGAGTCGATGAAATAAACTGAATAGAATTGAAAAATATTTGTCTCTAGTTACTTTAAAAAAAAAATGTGGCCTGAAAGATCTTAAAAGTTGGTAAATATAGCGACAATGTTGCCAAGTTAGCATTACCGATGGCTCTGGCAGCCTTCTAAAAGTCCCAAACCAGCTCCAAATTAAAGGTGCTGTAAGAGATCTTGGAAAAATGGTTCTAGCGATCTATATTTTTGAACATCCACCACCATGCCTCTCCCTTCAGACCACCCCTCGAAACCACGCCTTCAAAACACATTAACGCACACGCTGTCTGTCGAGGTGTCGGTACAGATCAAGAACGAAACAAGCCGAGTGCTAGTGACACAAGCTAGCATAAAACATAATGCTACATTCACACATAAAGCAGCAGAGGGAGCAGGAGCAGCTAGTTTACATGCAAAGCTAATGGTTGACGCGCATCAAGGAGCAGCAAAAGTTCCTGCAGAGCGTCTAGAGTAGCAGGAGCAGCACGTAGCTGGCAGGGAGTCAGACACAGTACTGCTGATGCAGAGCGCAATGATCACTCCTCTGAAACAGTTTATTAACGCCTAAATTAACTAAAAATGTAGAAACCTGCCGGCAGAATATGTTCGCTTTTATTATCCTGCTGCCTGCAGTTTACGTACGTGGAAAACGCCTTCCAGCCGCCACGGAAAACCAGGCCAGAGGCTGCCTTTGAATGGGATTCCCAGTGACAGCGCAGCGCCGGTATGTGGGGGTCTGAGCGGCTCCCACAGAGAAATAATCTTTGAAGGCAGGATGGTAATCTGGATGAACTGACTGCACAGACCATGTTTTCAGGAGGACTTTCTCACTTCAACATAGATTCTAACTACTTTTTACCCGCTGATCACAGCTAATATAGCTGCCATTGTTCCAGGCAGAGAAAGGATCGGGTAGCTCCGCCCACCGCGCATAAGACCCACTTTTCCCACTGCGCAGCTAGAGCAGCAAAGATGCTTCAGCCGCGCGTCAGAACTAGATGTACAGCATCAAAAATGGAGCAGCACGAGCGTTTTTGCTGCTCTTGCTGCTTTAGGTGTGAAAGTAGCATGACGGTGGCTAGCTTCCAGCCATGGCGTCCTGCACGAGCATTGGGGGGTCAAGTCGTTCATGTGTCAGGGTACGTGCACAGGGGGGAGGGACAAGAAGATAATCATGATTGACGTGTCAGGATCCAATATTTGACCACGGACCGTCTTTTGTGATTGGTGGACGTTAGGCATTGATTTCTCACTGTAGCGTTTCTCTTCCAGACCTTCTATTTCACTGCTCGCTAAGCGGCTGTGGGGAGATCTTTAAGCCACCTGGTAAAAAATGCGTCAGAAACAATCTCCTACTGCACCTTTAAAGTCTTTGCTGTTCCTGTCGAATAGATTATTCAGGGGAACCAGCAGAAAGTTAAAGATGGCGGCTACTTACCTCGTCAGGGTCTGTTAGCTTGAACTCCCATCCATCTCCAGTCCAGCTGATGCAGGACTGACAGCTGCGATCGGTCAGAAGCTCCAGAAGAAACTGCCACAGCTGGATGGGGCCGCTGCCTGTGGAGAGACGGTCGAGCAGAACGGATCGACGCTCAGAAAATCCACAATCGATCTGAACACAGAAACATGAGGCGACATCGTCGAACCAACCGGTGTAACCAGCTAAGATGGCGGCCGGTATCACAGCTTTGCCCGCCTCGGTTTTGCCGCCCACGTAGTCTTTGAAGCTGCCGTGTTTTCGCTGTAAGACGAAGGCGTCGTCGGGCAGACTCTCCTCCATCGGGGGGTCCAGGTCCCCCCGAGGAGCCGTCCAGGCCAGGAAGCTGACGGCGGCAGAGGTTCTGCTGGGAACAGCTCTCATTTCTGAGCCGGTTTCTACCAGAAAGCAGGAGATAAACAAGACACTCAGCTTCTGTAAAACATGAACACTTAAAAGAAGGCAAAATAATTAATTTAAAGCGAAAAATTTGTGTTGCGTCGATACTGATACCTGCATCGGGCGGGGTATCGGTATCGGAGAGTACCAACAAATAGGGAAACGATACCATTTTGAGAGCCAAAAGTTTCTTCAACTATTGTCACCCATTCCAGGAAGGCAATAAAAAGTTCTACTGGGTTCTAGTGTTGTGCCGATGCTATTTTTTGGCCCCAATAACTGATACCTGGCTGTGCAGTATCGGCCGATACCATCTGTTTAAAATTGATGTGTGTGTATATATGAAGAACTGCAAACTAATTGGATGTAAAATTATTGCCATCATGGCTTTGTGTCAAGCTGCTGCCTACCTTTGTGAAGCAGGAAAAAGACTAAAACAAAGTAGAGTCTCAAAGTAGAGTTATAGTTTCTTTGTATAGCTTCTCTATTCCATAGAGAAAGAATGACGAAAATCAAAAAACTCTCCTGTTTTATTTATGGCATGTTTATGAATTAGAAATAATCAAAATCAGTTTTTTCGGAGGCATTTTTATGCTGAAGTTCTTTCCAGGTGGTGTAGAATCTATATCAGGTGGTTCTACACATCAGTATATCAGGGGTGGGTATTGGCAAAGCAGTCACGATTCGATTCGAATCACGATGCATCACGATACTTGAAATTAGGGGTGTGCAAAATAATCGTCATGATGATGCATCGTGATTCTAATTTTCGTGATCTACTGCATCGATTCTTGACGCCAAGTATCGATTATTAATTTAAAAAAATTAATAAACAAAATTGCATGAATGGTTGGCGAACATCAGCCAAAAACAAGTGTAATACAACTTCCAGTCCCGTAGATGTTGCTGTGGATGTGTTGACGCACGCTGCCTTGTGTCACAAGCATTTCCGGCCGCGGGATACTGCGCCGAGTCATTCAAAAACAAAACATGGAGGAGAAAATATTGCAATGCATCGCAATAATCCAAGTATCGTGATGCATCGTGATAGAATCGCATCGTGGCCTGTGAATCGTGATTCCAATCGAATCGTGACTTCTTTGGCAATACCCACCCCTACTTGAAATATTGCGATGCATCGCGATGCGTTGCGATATTTTCACTGAACACTGTAGGAAAAAGATACAGCCCTTACCATAACAAAATAAGGATAATCAGAGCCGTTTACATGGCCTCAGTGGTCCTTTAAACGAATGAAACGAAAACATTCAAATGTATATTTCCCCTTTTGCAAATGACGTGCATCATATCAATTTCATTTTTACCTTCTTTGTTTTTGAAGCCAAGATGTATCCAAGCATCTAACTTGAAATGTGACGGAGCCGCGGGGCGAATTTTCTCAGTCTCCTCCATATTTTGTTTACGTATGACCCGTCTCAGTATCCCACGGCCGGAAATGCTTGTGACGCAAAGCAGCGGGCGTCAACACATCCGCAGCGACATCTGCTGGACTGGAAGTTGAATTCCACTTGGTTTGGCTGATGTGCGCCAACCATTCATGTATTTTATTTGTTCATTTTTTTAAATTAAGAATCGATACTTGGCGTCAAGAATCGACGCATTAGATCACAAAAATTAGAATCGCGATGCATCGTCATGACGATTATTTTGCACACTCCTAAGTACATCAGGTGGTGTCTGGAAGTTACATGTTCTTTAGAATTATTCTGAAAATTATACAAATGTTCTGATATTAGAACATTTAATTTGTATTACTGAATACTTAAGTACTTCCCAAAGTGAGTACTTCAATACTTTAACTTGAGCAGATGTTTGCCTGGGTAACTTTTACTTGTAGTCGAGTAAGATTTGACAGTGAGTATCAATACTTTTACTCAAGTACTGCTGCTGAGTACTTTGTCTATATATATATATATATATATATATATATATATATATATATATATATAAATATAGTTTCTTAGTTTTACCTCCATTGATGTGTCTGTCTGGGATCAGAAGAGCAGCACTGACGCTCCTTCTGGGATCTTCTGTTTTCACCAGGCCGTATCCGTCATGTTGGGCCGCCGGCTCCAGGAGGTGGAGGTTTGTGCCTTCAGCTGCGTTGTAGTGAAGCTGGTAATTCTGATTATCACAGTGATCCTGGATGAAGTCTGAGAAGGTTTCTGCTAAAGCAAAGCAATGAGCGACATGTTAGAGCGAACAGCCAGAAAACCAACAGATTCTAATGTGTAGATCTACCTCTGTGAGTCTGAAGCTGGTAGTAGCACGGAGCTTTGCTGCTGGGGAACGAAGAACTGCAGCTGAGTCCGTTCTCTGGGAGTTTATTGAAACAAAACATTGAGAGACGTAGTCAGAGGCTGCCCTGAGGTCCCATCCGCTCATTTTAACAATCTTGTTCAGTGTCTTTCATGCAGGCCCAAGCCTCCATGGGGCCCTGAGGGATATTTGAGTTTGGGGCCCTTTATTTTTGCCAATAATATGGACTGTTGAAATCCAGGGGTTGATGTTAAAGGAATAGTACACCCAAAACATGATTAGCCTTCATTTTCTACTCACCCCCATGCTGAACAACGTTCTGGAGTACTTTTTTGATATCTCAAATGCATCTGGAGATCTGGGAGGCTTCTTGCGCACTTTCATCTGGTTTGGTCTGCCGCGGTTTCCGTAGACTCGTGAACGCGCTTTTAGGAAATCCTATACACTACTGTTTATGCTCTAAAAACATTCTAAATGACTTCGTTTCGAGTAAATTATGGACGCTACCCACTCAGGACACTTGGAATACATTGGACGAGCAGTATGGAGGAATATTGACACGTTTTTTGTGGACTTTTATGGACCTTTCTGCCTCGGGCACCATAGACCTCCATTATTTGAATGTCAGCAGACAGCAAGAAGCCTCCCAGATCTCCAGATGCATTTGAGATATCAAAAAAGTACTCCAGAGTGTTGTTCAGCATGGGGGTGAGTAGAAAATGAAGGCTAATCATGTTTTGGGTGTACTATTCCTTTAAGGATTTTTACCACTTGCCCTTTGGGTAAGTGACTTTCACATTTCATTTGCCCAGAAACAATTTTTACTTGCCCAGTATAATGTTTGATAAATATAGTTCCTAATATTCATTTTTGTATATATATCAATGAAACATGTTTGTTTTTTAAATGTTTTTTGTAATTCAGTATTTTTTAAGTTTCCAGGTTCCTGGTGTGTATCTGCATGCGTCAGATAATGAACTCAAGCCTACATTATCGTGTTAACATGCTTTTCAATCCTTCCTGCAAATTCTTTTCAAACTAAACTTTGATTTAAACTGTTGCGTGCTTGGAAAAATATAAATTGTAATGTTAAAAATCTAAAAAAAAATTGACAGGTTAAAAACTTAAGATAAATCACAAGACAGAAGTCAATGTCACAAATGAATAACTTTTATTTTAGAGTCACGGTATGTTTATACAAGATAATACTATTAATATAATGTGACTTTTCTAGAGAATCATTATACATAGTTATTTTATTCAGGGTTTCCACAGTCTGACATCATTTCAGAATTCCCTGACTTTTAACTGATCAGGATTAGTTTTATGCCAATTTTCCAAATCCCTGACCGATAATTTTAATCTAGGGTTATCTGGGTGGTGGATGAAATAGGCTTGTTGTTGTTTTTTAGCCTGCCAAGTCGAAAAAAATGTGTCTGATTCGCGCCGGACAAAAATCACGACATCTGGCGGAAAATCACGCGGCCTCTTGAAATCACGTGAGAATGTGTACAAAACAACAAAAATGGCGCCGGCAACGCTTCTGGGTCGTTTTCATTGAATGTCGGTGATTTTAAAGTAATTTTGAGAGATAAATATATTTTTTTTGCAATGAAATTTGTACTCTCCCGACAATAAAAACTACTTGCCCCGGGAGAGCAGGCGATCGTTAACGTCGAGCCCTGCAATCCATAGTATTTTTTTCCTGTTCAAAGGGAGTTTTTCCTCTCCACTGTCGCTACAAGCATGCTTAGTGTGAGGGATTGCTGAAGAGTCAATGAGTCGATGCAATCAGCTGGTTTTCCTTAGATAGAAAACTTTGAATCAATCTGACTGGATGATCTGGTGAACTGGAAAGTGACCTGAGAGGACATGATGTGAATTGGAGCTATAGAAATAAACTGAATAGAATTTTGAGATGATCAGAACATTCATTGATTATGTATATTTAAATCATCCACTTTTTTGAAAAATAATCTGTGGTGCAACGACAACAACTATTTACAATAAATCCAATTATTTAGATAAAAAATTACATTTTACATAATTAAATAAAATATCAAGCACATCAAATTATGCAAATGAGAAGAAACCAGGCAAAATGTTGATAATTTGTCTTAAAATGGGTTATATCATTTTAAATGTATTTTACAAGCTTTTAAACGTTAAAAAAAAAATTATACATTGGCATCACAAACTTCATATAAATGTTACTTTTGGTCTTTCTTTCCCACAACCCTGGATAGTTTGCTCTGCTTGGCAGCTCCACCCATATCTCTAAAAACGTTAATCACTCCGCCATCTTTTATCTAACCGACCGTAGACGACCTGGTGAAGTTCAGAACAAACGACCAAAAGATGTGATAAACCTTTCAAACTGTCCAGAGGTATCAAAAGTATTCATGTTAAAAAACACTTTTTTGTAAAAGTTAGAGGATCGATTTAAGCTTTTTACTCCAGTAAAAGTACCATTTTTAAAACTACTTAAAGTATAAAAGTATATTTTAAGTCGCTCTGATATTTTCCCTTCCTGTATTGATGCCAGGAATGTAACACCTCGCTCTATTCATGATTCCTATTTAATTATTAATTGTCCAAAAAAAATCACAGTTTTATCAAAAAATTTACAAGTTTTATTATCCAATATTTTTAACTAATGTTGTGTGGCCAGAGGCGGAGCTAGATGGGGGGCCGGGGGTGGCCATGGCCACCCTCAGCCAATCATTGGCCACCCTTACCATTTTTTCCCTCTAATACAGATGGTGGCAGCAGTAATACTATCAAGTGGAATAATCAAAACATTTTATTTTTTGTGCACATCATAATACTATCATTAAAGATGATAAGTACAGAATTCATGTGTTTGATCTGGTAAGAGAGAAAATTATGTGTCTGCAAGTCATCTAGGAGTCTTCATTGAAATCAAAGATAATTAACTATTTTAATAAAAACTTTTTAATCAATTTATGTAGATATTAGTTGGGGTGACCAGATGTCCTCCTTTTCCCGGTAAGTTACTATTTACTATTTTAATAAGTTTTTATTAAAATAGTATATATATATATATATACATATATATGTATATATATCAATAAGATGATGAAGAGTGTGTCTGACCTGCCCTCATGGTCTCCAGATGCTCCCAGAGGATCTCTCCTGCAGTGCAGTCGGACGTCATGCCCAGGAAGGTCTCCCTGTCCAGCCCGCACAGCTCGCTGCCCTGCAGACCCCGTAGATCTGAGCCCAGGCAGTGGAGACCGAACTCAGCCTGGCACCAGTCCAGCCAGTGGTTCACCTCCCATTCTGACCACAGGCTGGGATCTAAACACGCAGGCCGACGACAGAGCGCAAAAATAAAGCAATCCAGATAAAAACCAAGAAGAAGATGTATAAAATGTACGGGGCACCGAATGTAAAATATTTAACCAAAAAAAGAATCCCCTTCAATTTTCTATTGTTTATATTTATTCTAGATTTAAAGGGCAAAACACTGAATATAAATGTAAAATCTAACTGATATACAAAATATATATGTTAAATCTATTTCTACATCATATAAAATTTAAAATTGATCTATCTCTATATATATAAATGTGAATTATATCTAAATCTTGAAAACACACTGCAAAAACGATCAATAAATAAGTAAAAATGTCTTAAATTAAGTGTGTTTACCCTTAATTTGAGCAGGTATATAAGATTATCTGGCTATGGAAGGAGTATTTTTACTCTTAATATAAGATAATTACATAATATTCACTTGAAATAAGACAATGCAGTTGTTTTTTCTTATTTTGAATGTAAATTGTCTTGTTCTATTGGCAACGTGTCTCACTTACCTCCTCAATTCAAAACAAAATGCACATAATTTAAGAAAACGTTTTTCGCAGTGTATATTTTGAATCAAAATATTAATTCTAAGTAGAAATCTTAGATCTTTAATCTAAATTGTAAAACCTCAAACTTAAATTTTTTACCAAATATACAGATTTACCACTCCCATTTAACAGGTCTTCTTTTGGCCACACCCTGAAGAATTAGGACAACCAATGAGAAGAGCAGCTGGGCGGGATCCTTTAAAAAATCCCTTATTTTTTCTGAAGGCGCTGTCACACCTTTCCGATTTATCCAGCGTATGCCGACATCCCAGAATCCCCTAAAACGCTGGCATACGCTGAAATTTAGATGTATTTTTATTTTGGGCGTATACATAGCGTATTCATAACGATTCCAGAACTTCTGTCCAACGACAGCCTAACTTCTGCATAACGCACATAATGCTCATGAAATGCCCCCCTCCCTGTATTCAAGTCGTGGGCCTATGTATAAGTTATATACAACTTACTCATAGATTTAGGATAAGCTAGACACCACGACATATGAGTAAATTACACTTAACGTATGTCAACCATCAGACTTCAGACTCTGGCACGTACCTGCCGTGTGACGTGTGCCAGCGTGTTTTAGCGTGCTCATAACTTATAGAAAACCTGCCCATAACTTATCCAACGTACACCAGCATTTTAGCCAGCAAATGCCGTACGTCGGTATATGCTGGCTAAATTGTCAAGGAGTAACAGCGGCATTATCGGTGTTCCTACGTATTTCGCGTTTGGCCTCAAGATGGTTTATTAAAAGGTGCACGTACTTCGCGTTTGGCCTCAAGATGGTTTGTTAAAAGGTGCACGTACTTCGCGTTTGGCCTCAAGATGATTTGTTAAAAGGTGTACGTACTTCGCGTTTGGCCTCACGATGGTTTGTTAAAAGGTGTACGTACTTCACGTTTGGCCTCAAGATGGTTTGTTAATAGGTGTAGGTACTTCGCGTTTGGCCTCAAGATGGTTTGTTAAAAAGTGTACGTACTTCGCGTTTGGCCTCAAGATGGTTTGTTAAAAGGTGTAGGTACTTCGCGTTTGGCCTCAAGATGGTTTGTTAAAAGGTGTAGGTACTTCGCGTTTGGCCTCAAGATGGTTTGTTAAAAAGTGTACGTACTTCGCGTTTGGCCTCAAGATGGTTTGTTAAAAGGTGTAGGTACTTCGCGTTTGGCCTCAAGATGGTTTGTTAAAAGGTGTACGTACTTTGCGTTTGGCCTCAAGATGGTTTGTGAAAAGGTGTACGTACTTTGCGTTTGGCCTCAAGATGGTTTGTTAAAAGGTGTACGTACTTCGCGTTTGGCCTCAAGTTGGTTTGTGAAAAGGTGTACGTACTTTGCGTTTGGCCTCAAGATGGTTCGTTAAAAGGTGTACGTACTTCGCGTTTGGCCTCAAGATGGTTTGTTAAAAGGTGTACGTACTTCGCGTTTGGCCTCAAGATGGTTTGTTAAAAGGTGTACGTACTTTGCGTTTGGCCTCAAGATGGTTTGTTAAAAGGTGCATGTACTTCGCGTTTGGCCTCAAGATGGTTTGCTAAAAGGTGCACGTACTTCGCGTTTGGCCTCAAGATGGTTTGTTACAAGGGGCACGGTTAATTTGCATATTTTCAAAAGATTTCGATTTAGGATTTAAGATATACATTGATATTTTACATGGAAGATATTTAATTTCAAAAAAATATTATACATTTAAGATATAAATTTACATTTAAGATGTAGGTGTAATATATATTGCTAGATTTAACTGCAAAATATAGATTTAGGATATATATTTAGATTTAACATTAAATGTTATATATACATATATACATATATGTATATTTATATAAACAAACTTTTGATTCAAGTTTTAGATAAAAATGTTTTATTTAACTTCACATATAAGAATTTCCTGAATATTAAAAAAAAAAGCACTAAATGTGAAGAAAGTGAGCAAAACCATCAGTGGATTTTTGACATTTGGCACCCCGTATAAAGCTCACCCTGTGGAAATTGGTGGTTGCTGATCTCCTGAGCGAAGCCAGAGAAGCTGGCATTAACCGCCTGGCTCAGGACCTCCTTACTGGTTGGAGTGAGAGGCGGGACGTCCAGGGAGTCGAGCTCTGGGACACACAGAGAAATAAAAACATTTTCAAGTAGCTACCAGCTAAATGCTACATCTCTATTGCATTAATGGCTAAGGTGTGTTAAATGCAGAAAAAGGTCAAGATGTTGAATCTGTGGATTTCTGGGTAATTTATCAGATATATCAGTTTATGCAGAACCAGCCCTGAACAAAAACAGCCATGATAGCAATGCAACCATGAAGCGATGAGAGAGGCACAGCTAATAAATGAAATTACCAAAACAAATAAAAACTAACATCTGTGGTGAAAAGAGGAGATAAAAACGCTGCCAGTGTCACCGTGCCATCATCATCTTCAGACGGGGCAGAGATGCGGGATCAGGAAAAATAAATTTCTACTGCAAAAACTGACCCAGCGAATAAGAAATACTTCTTTAGTTTATCTGCCCTCAGTCTGAGTAGGTTAATAAGACGACCCGCTGCTGGAATGGAAGGAGTAGGTTTGCCCTTTAAATAAAATACTAAAATAGGATGTACTTGAAATAAGATAATGAAGGTAATTCTCTTTATTCTATTAATTGATTGTCTTATTAATCTGCTAAAATTAAAATTAAATTTCAAGAAAAATAGGCTTCCTTATTTTTTATAAAACACAGTGTCTGTAACTGTCTGATACTCTGATACTTTCTCTGAAAAGTATCAATACTGGGAAAAGTATCGATACTAGGAAAAGTATCGATACTAGGAAAAGTATTGATACTCTGAGAAGTATCGATACTCTGAAACATATCAGTCCTCTGAGAAGTATACATACTCTGAAAAGTATTAATACTGTGAGAACTATCAATACTGGGAAAAGTATTGATACTCTGAGAAGTATCGATACTCTGAAAAGTATTGAGACCCTGAGAGGTATCGATAATCTAAGCAGTATCAGACATCTAAAAAGTATCCATACTCTGAAAAGTATCAATAGTGTGAGAAGTATCAATACTCTGGAAAGTATCGATACTCTGAGAAATATCAATTATCTAAGAAGTATCGATACTCTGAGAAGTATCGATACTCTGAGAAGTATCAATAATCTGAGAAGTATCAATAATCTGAGAAGTATCGATACTCTGAGAAGTATCGATACTCTGAGAAGTGTTGATAGTCAAAGTTGTTGTTGACTTTAGATTTCTGGATAGTTTGAAGATAGACGAATAACATCAGAAAACCTTTAAATATTATCAAATAGCCTCGGATTAGATTTTTTTATTTAGAATTTATTTAGCAAACATCTGTGATTCTATTAAAGGAGGTTCAGTGTTGAGATGGAAGATTGAAGATATTTTCTCTTTTATCCACTAAAAACAGTGTCGCATATCTTCCTGGTTATCAATATTGAGTTTGAAAGGATTGTATCATGAGAAAGGTAGCAGTAACTAAGTACTTTTACTTTCAAAAAAGAAATAGGTTGTAGTAGTTTTAATCTTTGCAAACTTTCTGACTTCACCACCACCATTTAACAGAGTGAAAAAACTGTTATTGATGTTTTATGGTTTTATCTCATTCTTTAAAACACAAGAATATAACTTTCCATTATGATAGACCACTCTATCCACCTCTATCCACCTCACATTGGAGTTCATATTGAGACAGAATCCATTAATTGTGATTAATGGATTCTTTAAATAATTGTCAACTACTTTGGTCATCGGATCGATACCAGGAGCAACGGCTCCCAGGGCACCAAGATATTAAATAAATAGTTATGATGTGATCTCCAAAGTTTATGGAGTGACAAAATGTGTCATAGAATAACTAAATGTAGCATGAAATAAGTAGAAGTAGCATTAAATTTATTAATAAATAATACATGATAACAAAAATAATAAATATACCTTGATAAGGGAAAATTCACATTTAAATAATATCTAATCAAAACATTTAAAATTACATAAAAAAAATTTAAGCATATCCTGATCTATCTCTATAGTTCTGCTGCTATAGGCTTAGACTGCCGGAGGACATAGGGACCCCTTTTTCATCATTCTGCTTCATTCTATCTCTATTCTCCCACTCTGCAGAATCTGTTAGTTCAATCTCTAACGTTCTGCTCTCTCTGCTTTTTCTCATAGTAGCTTCATCTGGTCTGTTCCTGTTTGGCTGTGACTCCATCCTGGAGAGAAATATCAGCTGTGCTGCTGCCATCAACACCTTTGTTTCTAGATGTTGGAGCTTGGCCTGTTTTCCAGCGTAGTCCTGTTTCTCTGACTGTGACTAACTGGATGTGCTCTCTTCATCCTCTGACATGGGTGCTGGCTCGGAGCTCGTCTGCCTGGCTGTGTGTTTCCTGGACGGGGCCGCCTGTGGAGCTGGTTGACAGTTGCCTTTTGTATCTATGCTTCTTTTTCTATGTCTGCTTCCGTCTCCTTGAACCCCAGTGGGCCTCAGCAGATGGCCGCTCACACTGAGCCTGGTTCTGATGGAGGTTTCTTCCTGTTCAAAGGGAGTTTTTCCTCTCCACTGTCGCTACAAGCATGCTTAGTGTGAGGGATTGCTGAAGAGTCAATGAGTCGATGCAATCAGCTGGTTTTCCTTAGATAGAAAACTTTGAATCAATCTGACTGGATTATCTGGTGAACTGGAAAGTGACCTGAGATGACATGATGTGAATTGGAGCTATAGAAATAAACTGAATTTTATTGAAATAAATAATTACATGTAATTTTTTATAAATGCATTTATCCAAAATTAAACATTTAATAAACAGATAAAGCATAAAGTAATTCTGTCTATCTTTCGAGGGTATTCAGTAGATAGGTAGTAGTAGCAGGGTAGATCCAGAGTAACGGTACGCAGAGTCTAAAACATCTAATTTGCTAAAAGAACAACTTATATACAGCAGGAATTAAGAGAAAAGTTGACAAAGAAGATACACATTGTCCATTTAAGATTCAAAATTTTATTATTTATAGGTAGATTATCAAAACCTTTCTTATGAAATGCTGGTATAATTTTTTATGCATTTTCATTTGATTTAAAATGCTCAAAAAAGTTTTTTTTTTCCAAATTCCAAACATTTGCTTATTTACAAATGTTAATTAACTACAAGTATTTCTCTTAGATAACTTGCTAAAGAAATAATTAATAAATCAGTTACGGTTATAATCAATATCGGTTAATAAATTTGACTTAAAATCAATTCAGATTATTTACATAGAGCCAAGTTTTCTTTTTGAGTTTTCAGTTTCAGTTTGATCCATGTTTTTCTTAGTTTTCTAGTTTTATTGGTTTAATTTCTATTTTGATGTGTTTTCTGATTGTATTTGAGTTCTTAGGTATTTCTTGTTTGCCTTCTGCTGCCCTCTTGTGTCGGTCTCCTCCCCATAGCTCCCTTCCTGCCTCCTCTGTTCACACCTGCTCCCAATCTGCTAATTAGCCTGTTCTTTGTTTCTCTCTCCCATCTATACACCTCCTGCTCAGTCACTGTTGCTGGTTTGTTGTCATTTCTTTGCTCTTATTGCGAGTATTCCAGGTTCTCAGTTTTTGTGGATTTATCTTTTGGGATTTTTGCTTCTGTTACCTTTTTTATTTTTAAATCTTCAAGAAGCCACTTCAGCTTCAGTGTCTGCATTTGGCTCCTCTCCAGAGATGGCAAAAGTACTCACTTTCCGTACTTGAGTAAAAGTACAGATACTTGTGTTAAAAAATACTCTGGTAAAAGTGGAAGTACTGATTAAACTTCTTTACTCAAGTAAAAGTAACAAAGTACAGGCTTGTAAATTTACTTAAAGTATAAAAGTAAAAGTAGAAACCACTTTTTTCATGCCGTTGCCTACATTTTAAATGGATGTCTGCCAATAGGACTAGATCTCCGTTGTGTTCATTTTCAATCATCTCGTCGTCCATGCTACTATGCTAACGCCACCGCCACCAAGCTGCAATGATTTGCCGCCAATGAATACCGCCGAATCTGTCGATTCATCTTGTAGCGGTGCGCCAAATGCAACGTAGATTCCCATCCAATTAGATTGAATTTGGTATTGATGACGTGAAAAATAATAACGGTAACTCCATTGAAATGATTCAAAACTAAAGTAACGAGCCAATTTTTTTAAATATAAGGAGTAGAAGTAAAAAGTCGCCATAAAAATAAGTAGTAAAGTAAAGTAAAAATATCAGAAAAATCTACTTGAGTACAGTAACGAAGTATTTGTACTCCGTTACTTCCCATCTCTGCTCCTCTCAAACCCCCACCCCACCCAACTCAACACAAAATATATAACAAAGGTTACCAATGGGTGACCCACGGCTTCTCCAGCATTTATCTGACTGTGTGGTTCCCATTTTGGATATGACCGCTGGTGTCCGAAAGAATCGTACTATAACCTAGTTCCACCTGAATTGTCGCCATCTGTCTTGCTGTATATCTATATTTTTTCCCTTTCCCATTTTTCTTTGGTCTGTAGAGTTTTTTTGGGATCGATATCTATAAATAACTTGTTAAAATGGCTGATATTTTATTATTCCCACTACCTGTTTGTAATTTTATCAAGAATTCTTCCATTTGGGTGGCCTCTGGGATTTTAGTCCACTTTCTGTGGTTTGTTACACCAGATTTTTTACCGTTGAGTATAATGACAGTGAAGCAGTGATCGTTTTTCTTTAGTACAGTTTCTTTGGTTCTCTACCCACCTCTGTTCTGCAGTGACTTTGCAAGGATTGGGGAAAAAAGCAACATTTTCCCAGCATAGTTTAGGATGATTTAGAGAAGTTTAACGAGTGAAGCTACCGTTTAACCAGCAGTCAGACATTTTGCTTGCAGCTGCTTCTGCTCTGCTTCAAGTCCAAGTAGAAACTGAGTTACATCATCATAGGACGGATTATAACCAAAACATAAAGCAAAATAAACTGAATGGAAATGAACTGAAAACTATTTTAGAGAAATGGGATTTAATAAATAGTTTTTTTTTACCACCTATTAAAAATATGGCTGAAATCTGTTTGTATGTTCTAAAAGAAGCAGATAGAAGGGAATAATTAAAGGCAGCGGATAAACAAGAAGAATTAGGATGTGAGACGGAAAAAACAGATATATTGTCCAAATATCAGCAAAGGCGACGCATTTAGACCCCTTCAGCCTCTATGATAGGAGTCAATACTAACGGACACACATATAATATCCTTACCTATTTATTTTGATATCATTACACTGCAAAATGTGAAATATAATATTTTTAAATAAGGCTATTTCCTGTAAGGTGAGAAAATTTGCCCATAAAATAAGATAATTTAAAAACGGTTTTCAAGTTTAATTGAAATATCGAATAATTTTTTCTCTCAGAATAACTTTCTATGAAGTTAAATCAGGTGTTTCATTTCAGTACGTCTTATTTTATGGATAGAAGACAAAGCTGAGGGTCTTACCGTACGCCTGGCAGTCCATTTCCCCGGGGCTCAGGTGGAGGAAACACAGGAGAGGATGGAGGGAGGAAGGAGCTTTAATACGGGAGCTTGGTCTGAAGGTGGAGACCGGCTGTGAGCGACGACTGTCAGTCATGTGAGACGGACTAAAGAGAAACAGTCAGAGAAAAGAGGAGAGGAAATATAATGCAGCTTCAGGATTTAAGCTTTAATCGTCAACTATTAAGCTACTTTTTTTAAGATCCATTGATTTAACACAACATGGCAAATCACTGCATAGTGGATGTAGATGAAGGACCATCAGTAAATCAAATGAAGTGGTAAATATGGGGAAAAAATAATAGTAAAAAACTTCAAGCAGGCCTTTAAATGTATGGAGTGAATTTAGTTCTGATATTGTTGCAAACGACATGTTTGTAATGAGAAATCTGAAAACAGTGCGATCCAGGATTGGTACTACTATTGTTTCATAGATTCTCAGTTTTTTCAAATTCAGTTAATTGTTTTTATTCCATTTCATTTTCTTCTTAAATTTCTGTTATAAAAATTTCATTTTTTTATGTTTTACAAATTGTAGTTTTTTTTTTTCAAATTCACTTAATTGTTTTTATTATATTTCCTTTTATTTGATTTTATTCTTAAATTTCTGTTATAAAAATTGTCTTTTTTTATATTTTACTAATTGCAGTTTTTTTTTATTCACTTGTTTTTATTATATTTTATTTTATTCTTAAATTTTGTTGTAAACATTGTATTTTTTAAAATGTTTTACATATTGCAGTTTTTTTCAAATTCTGTGAATTGTTTTTATTATAAATATTTTTTATTTTCTTCTTAAATTTTGGTTAATAAAAATATATCTGTTTTAATTCTCTCCCTTTCAGATCGTGTTTTACAAATTGCCTTGTTTTTTTTGTGCTTTTTACAGATCACATTCTCTCTTTACTTCAAGCCCAACTAAAACAAGGTTTTAAAATAATTTAATTTATAAAACTCAATCTGAAACATAGAATAAAAAGAAAAATCATTTAAAAAATGAAAATCTGAGAAAACAGCAAAGTTGCTCTCAAAATATTTTTTTGATCAAGAAGTTTTTCAGTGTCTTTTTGGATTGCATTTTTTCCCTCTATCGTATTATTTGCTTGCAGCAATAATGGAGCAAATTTCACTCCATATTCATTTTTCAATTTCAGAACCTATTGTCATTTTGGAAGCCATCAAAGATGGAGGATGTTCTTATTATTCTTTATGAATAAAAAAAATGAGCTTATAAGTGACATCATCCTTTTTTATCTCAGATTATTTTTCATGTTTTATCTTTAAAGATGCATTCTGGGAAAAGTAGTTTTAATTTGATCTTTTACAAAATATTTTGACTTTACTGCAGAAACCTGGTCTATTGTTTCTGTATCGGTTTGACAAAATGAGTTTTTTATCATCATTATTACTGACATGGCTCCTCAGTAATTCAAAGGTGTAAATTTGATATTTTTAAGTTAGTTTTATTTATTTATTTATTTTGGCCTTTTGTTTCATAGTGAATCTCAAACACAAAACTTATTTTTTTTACTGATTTTGTATAAAATTTGTACATAAGTTATATTTATTCCCTTTATTTAGCAAATTCCTAGTTATGATCATTTTGTATCAGTCAGTGAGATGCCACAGTCTAAAAGAGTTTGATTAATTAATTTTTGTGGTATTCCTGTAATTTGGTCAATTCTTAGGGGATGAAATTGATATTCTATACTGAATTGTTGAGACTTTAGAGTTTTTCATTAAGTTAATAATGGATCATAATTCATCAGCAAGCTTAAAGTCCACTGGAGGAAAATGGTCATCATCTTGCCTTTTAAATCTAAGTACAGACAAACAGTTAAAGGTTTTTCTTCTTTCTTTAAAAGGCATCGTCCTTTAGTAAATCGTAAACAAAATAAAAAGAAAAGGTTCACAGAGATGATTTCTCCTCCATTTGAAGGAATAATCAATGGATCATTATTTATACCTAAAATTAAAACGTTTGCAGTGATTTAATGAATGTAGCATTAATCAGTAAAAAATACAAAAACAATTTTCGTCTGGGAGCGGCCATTTTTGCCCAAATATAGTAGCCCCTCCCTCCTGCCATCTTCCAGCAGTGACGTCACGGTGCGGTAAGCCTAGCGCCATTCTCCCCGCTTTACAAGCTAAATCAATGGGAACTACTAGACACATCTGCAATCAACAACAATTATTGAAGATTTCCAGAGGACTTCACCATTGAAATTCACCAGAGCTATAGTGAAACTGACAATGCCCACGTGCATGGCAGCTGGATGCTGGAATACATCGGGTAAAAGTGGAAAAAAAGAGTTATTCCACCTTTCTGATTCCTGATCCTCCACGGACGGGTTGGTCGTTGGATCGCCAACTTGAAGAGGGAGGATTTGCCATCGAACTTCTGGCCAGAGAAAAAACCCGTAATATGTAGCCAACATTTGGAAGAAGAATGTTTTCAAGATGACTTGGATAATAGCGCGTTGTGACAAACACCAGATACAGCACTGGGACTTGATCAACAGCCGATACCGCACATGTGACGTCACAAACCAGTAGGTGGCAGTAGTGTTCTTTGACAAACATGGATGCCTCCAGTAAAGCACATTCACATGAAAATACTCTGAATTAAAAACACTGATCATTTATTGAACAGGATGGAATCATTTCAGATTTAAAGAACTTTTAGAAGTTTGAATTCTGAATATTACTTTTCCTTTAAAGATTTGTTCTTATAAATGAAGCTGAAGCACAAATTTCTCCTGGAGGACTCTGGTCAGCCTCACCTGGATCACCTGCGATGGGCCAAAGTTCCAGCCAGTGGATGTCGGGACCGCACCCCCTCTGAAGTTAATCCCACCCCTTCAGCAATTCCCCCACATACCAGATGAACTTTCACCCCCCCTAACTCTCAGGCTGAAACCCAAAACGCCTCCTAAGCATTAACCCTTAACTATGAAGTGTCTCTCCCAATCAAGTCCCACTCACAGCTGTGGGAGCCGCCTGGATTGAAGGTGAATGAGACGCCTTCTCCCCTCCAACAGGAGAGCAGTCGTTTCTATGGCAACACGTGTGTGTGTACCCCTGTGGCACAGGTTGACATCACATCAAACATTTATCCCTCTCTTAAACATGAATATATGCAATCAGATAAAACAATTTCAAAGAGGATCATCTCTTTAGGGATTATTGGTGTTTTTTTTCTTTTTCCAAACTTCATATTTTCTGTCAATGTGACGAAGTTGCAGCAAACCAGAGGAACTTACATTTGAATCCTCCGCCATTCTTTCGCCGTTACACCCGCTGCGAAATTCCAGCAAGCCTGCACGGATGCAAAATCGCTCTTCAAGGGCTGAACGGTCCACTCGCCCTACCCACTACGTGGGTTGGGACGGCCCTTAATGTGACGGACGTTCCACGGGAACGTGCAACCAGGGGGGTTAGTGTTTAGGGGCCGTTTGGAATTCAGTCCATCTCTCATTCATCTTCTGGCCTATTCCAGTCCAGGCCCCCAGAGGAGGAAGACTTTTCTAATCCTTTTTCTAAACTATTCATCAGGGATCATGTCAATTTGCAGGATCAAGTCTTCTGCCGGGATCAGAGCGCCAAAGAACTGTTTTTAATCCATTCTTTGCAAATAGGGTGTCCACGTGGAGCAGTGGTTAGCGCGCACGACCCAGGTATGGAGGCCTTAGTCCTCAATGGGGCTGACCTGGGTTTGGATCAGACATGTGGTCCTTTGCCTCATGTCTCTCTCTCTCACACCTCTTTTGTGTTCAGCCTACTGTTGAAAAAAAGAGCCACTAGTGCCGTAAAAAAATAAAAATAAAATAAAACTTCTCTTTAGGCTAAAATCACAGGCGTCAGCGTCTCTCTGAGTGAACCCATTCAGTAACTTTTTACAGGGTTAAAGTAAAGGTTTTATATTCTAAAAAACTTCAAATCAATCCACTGAACTTTGTTTCCAAGTTTGAAGACGTTTCTCTTCCATCCAGGAATCGTTTTTAATTCCAAATGTCAGAAATAGCGTTTAGTTCCAGGTTTTATCCAGCAGCCCAACAAAGCCTGGTTTTAGTTTAGAAAACATGCAAATAGAAAAGGATGAACGGGTCCCCCCCTTTGGAATGGGGGTCGTTTGGCTTCTTTGTTAGCCTGCAATGCCCCATACCTGTCTATGTCTCTGAAAGGGGGGTCGTTAAAGGGAATAGTTGGCCTGGCTGAACAGGTGAGGTCTACTTTTCTCCAATAATGCGGTGGAAGGGTTGCGATGATTACGGGAAGGAATCAACTGTGTTGTAGGTTTTTGAAAGTTGAAATCTGAGTCCACCCCTCTGTTTAAGGTTGTGTTTTCTTTCTCAAAAATGGCTTTCTTCACACCCCTCTCAAACCACCTGTCTACTTTGTCCAAAATGTGGACATTCTAGTCCTCAAAAGAATGTCCTTTGTCCATAAGGTGTAGAGATGCTACCACTCTATAGAGCTTTCTGCTCTCTCTGCTTTTTCTCATAGTAGCTTCATCTGGTCTGTTCCTGTTTGGCTGTGACTCCATCCTGGAGAGAAACATCAGCTGTGCTGCTGCCATCAACACCTTTGTTTCTAGATGTTGGAGCTTGGCCTGTTTTCCAGTGTAGTCCTGTTTCTCTGACTGTGACTAACTGGATGTGCTCTCTTCATCCTCTGACATGGGAGCTGGCTCGGAGCTCGTCTGCCTGGCTGTGTGTTTCCTGGACGGGGCCGCCTGTGGAGCTGGTTGACAGTTGCCTTTTGTATCTATGCTTCTCTTTCTATGTCTGCTTCTGTCTCCTTGAACCCCAGTGGGCCTCAGCAGATGGCCGCTCACACTGAGCCTGGTTCTGCTGGAGGTTTCTTCCTGTTCAAAGGGAGTTTTTCCTCTCCACTGTCGCTACAAGCATGCTTAGTGTGAGGGATTGCTGAAGAGTCGATGGCTGAATTCAAATTCATAGGCTGCGTCCTCCAAAGGCCAGATTCGTAGGCCAATTATGTCCGATCTTAATATATCTGCAGTGTGTCATCAGATATTTTTTTAATTGGTACTTTGCACAATTTGCTTAATACATACATTGTTTAGATTTACCTATATCTTTCTACCCCTTTTATATCTTTACATTTGCTTTTCATGCCACTGGTGTTTTATTCAACTCTGGATTCTCATGAGTGTAGTCTTTGTTCATTTTACAATAAAAAAAGATTTAAAAATATATTTTTTGGGGGGGTGGGCGAGTCTTGTTTCCTTGTCTAGCTCCTTATCAGTTGGTGGCAGTAGTGCACTTTAACTAGTTTGCCAACTGCAAACTAGTTAAAGTGCACATTAATAAAGAAGCCAAACAACCCCCTTTCCAAAGGGGGGGACTCGTTCATCCGTTTCTATTTGCATGTTTTCTAAACTAAAACCAGGCTTTGTTGGGCTGCTGGATAAAACCTGGAACTAAACCCTATTTCTGACATTTTGAATTAAAAAAACTTCCTGGATGGAAGAGAAACGTCTTCAAACTTTAAAATAAAGTCCAGTGGATTATTTTTTCACTTTTTTGGACTGAATAGAATCACTTTACATGATTTCAGCTCCTTAGTTTTTTCATACTTCATAACTTTGAGGAAATATCTGTTTGGTTTTATGACGCCTCATTAGAAAATCTTGTCCAAGCAGTGCTTTCCTGGTCTGTTAAGGAACGTTGGTCTTTAAGCTGGTCGGAGGATGAATCAACAGGAAGCCTTTTATTGTTCACCTTAATTTCCTTTATTTTATTTCCAAAAAAGTATTTTTTGTTTGTAATAATGGATAAAACAAATTCACTTCGCCGCCGTAACCCTTCAAACCTACCCTGCAAATGTTCTAAAATCCAGAACATGTCAGATAATGTTTCATGTCCGCTCACACTGAGCCTGGTTCTGCTGGAGGTTTCTTCCTGTTCAAAGGGAGTTTTTCCTCTCCACTGTCGCTACAAGCATGCTTAGTGTGAGGGATTGCTCAAGAGTCAATGAGTCGATGCAATCAGCTGGTTTTCCTTAGATAGAAAACTTTGAATCAATCTGACTGGATGATCTGGTTGAGCTGGAAAGTGACCTGAGATGACATGATGTGAATTGGCGCTATAGAAATAAACTGAACTGAATTAGTTTTAAAGAATTCTGTAGAATAGTGTAGAAATGTGACCGATATGTTAAAACAAAGAAGAGCTGCAACAAAGAGCTGGACTATAGGTTCCATCTTTTATTAAACTAAAAAGATCCGATTTCTGGTCGTTTTTTGCAGCAAAACAGGAAGTTGCAGAAAAGCGCCAGAGTGAGGTTACAGTAGAGCGACTGTGGAGGACGCCGCCATGTTTCACACACAAGAACAGCAGATAGAGACGAACATCTTACACAGAAAAACTCAGCTAAACAAGGCAGTTTTATTCCTCAACATGGATCACTTTCAGGGACAGGACAGAATGAGCCACAAACATGCCAACTAAATATATATATATAATTTGCATTAAAGCTCTTCTCTATAGTTATATATTAATATATCTTTAAAGAGAAATTATTACATTCAGCTAACACAGAAAAACATTTAACAGTCAGCATCTCTTTAACATGAAATCTTCACATAAAGATGGAGAAATGGCTTCCTTTTTTAACCCCTCGTACCCGTCGCCTCCTTTCTGTCTAAAACGAGACACGGCGGTTTGGAAGAACAGTGACGAGGTTCATCCGCTGGCCTTTTGTGAAGGAATGTGGGAATATGGGTTCCAACGTCCCCTTTTTGTTCAACCGCAAAGAAAAAGAACAGAAGAAAATCTTTACCTGTTCCCAGAAACAACGCAGCTACAGTCTGAGAATATTCAGTAACCGGAGTTAGCAAAGCTTTCTATCTTTCTAAAATAAATCATTTCAAAGTTAAAAACCGTTTCTTTTTTTTTCCCCAGGTGAAGCGGGAACCACCCGATCTGTTCAGGAAGAGACGCCGCGGCGCAAAGTGAAGAGGCTACAGGGTGGGGCTAAGCGCACGGTGAGCTACGGCTGAAGGGAAGGAAGCAGCAGCGTTTTAGCGAGGATCATCCGGAGCGGCGATCTTCTCCAAACTGGGCTCCATCCCCCAGATCTCCCTAGCGTACTGGGAGATGGTGCGGTCACTGGAGAACTTCCCACAGCCGGCGATGTTGTGGATCACCTTCTTGGTCCACTCTTTGGGGTCCTGGATAAAAAGAGGAGGAGGGCGTAAAGTTAGGAGACATAACGAAAGTTACTACAGTAACTACGCTTTTATGGATCCCAGATGACTTCAAGCACTGAATGATCATTCTTGCACAAGCGAAGGTCGAGTATTGATGACAACAAAGTCACCTGTGACCTGCCGGGGACTCACGCAACTCTATTTAGCCACATGGCACCCGGCGTTCAATCCCTCAATCTTCTCGCAAGAAGCAGAGATCCCAAGGGACCAAGCACTCTGGCTGTCATCCGGGATTCATAGAACCGTAGTCACGGTAGTAACTTTCGTTCTATTTCATCCCTGCTGACCGCCAGAGGCGGTGCTTCAAGTACTGGATGACTTATGTCAATAAGGTAATGAGGAATCGGCAACACTCAGGGGACAACCCCTACACCACCCACCTAATGTGATGTAGAGGCATGCTGCTCCAGGATTCCTTGAAAAGGTTGGGGTTCAGCCACATTCACCCTGTAAAACCGATAAAAAGGTTCTTGGGGTATTTCCAGGAGGCCGCAGGGCATATAACATCCAATGGCACCCCAGTCATGGCAGCAAATGATGTCGACATGCCCCTTGTAGGGTGGCACTTCACTCCTGCCGGCAGCGGCCGGTCCTATGAGGCATTAGCCTTGGAGATAAAATCCAAACCCCAGTTTGCAGTGGCACCTTAGGGAAAAACGGTACATCAGGCCACAGTGCAACACCTGAGCCATTGGGATTCCACCGGCAGCAGGGCTTGGCCATTGAGAGAGCCTGCAATTCACCCACACGCTTTGTGGAAACCATAGCCAAAAGGAATGCCGTCTACAGAAAAAGCCATTTGAGGTCTGCTGATGCCAGGGGTTTAAATGCGAGAGATCAAACTGCCTCAAGCACCAGAGAAACGTCAAATGTCGGTGCCACAGGGCGGTTGGGCACCGAGCACCCCTCAGAAACTGTGCAACATCCTTGTCTCAGCCAACTGAGCAACCAATCAGCCCGTTAGGCCAACAGGAAACAGCAGCCACATACACTTTTAAGGTAGCCGGAGACCGTCCCTGATCCAGTGATGCCTACAGGAAGGTCAGTATGTCAAAGACTGAACGCTGCACCGGGTCCTGTCCCTTATTACGGCACCAGGTCGCAAAGACCGCCCACTTGTTAATATAGGCAGCCCGCATGTACGGCGCCCATGGGTTGGCCATTGTGCGCCCTACCGACCCAGTTTATCTCGAGAAAGTTGGCTCCTGCCTTGCAGGGGCCAAATCCAGAGCTAAAGCCGGTCTGGTTCCTGGTGCAAAATCTGACCCCCCATCTGGGAGAGAAGATCCCTCCTGGGGGGGGAGACGCATTGGCGAGCTGGAGCTCAGGTCGCACAGTTTCCTTGACCTGGTCCACCCTTGGTGGTTGATGTGAAAAACCACAGTGGTGTTGTCTGACCTCACCAGCACATGCTTCTCCTGCAAGTCTGAAAGAAAGCTCTGAAGAGACAGGAGTACAGCCTGTAATTCCAGGACATTTATGGGTTCCCTGCTCTGCCGCTGGGACCATGTCTCGTAAGCCATTCGATCCCGCCATGTTGCACCCCAGCCTGTGGAGGATGCATCCGTAAACAAAACCTCCCAACGACACGGGAGGCAGCCGAGCGGGACCCCTGTTGTCATAAAAGACCTCACCCTCCATTGTGACAGAGACTGAAGACATTGAGGCCCCACCCGGAGTCTTTTGAGACAATGAGTGTTCCGTGCGGGGTCCAGATTGAAGCTGTTCAACCACATCTGGAGGGGCCGCAATGACAGCAGCCCTAACGGCATTACGGAGGATGCAGCTGTAAGCATTCCCAAAAGGTGAAGATACCGCACAAGAGGCAGGGCCTGATTTCCAGGAGCATGCTCGATACACGGTTTACCCGCTGTGGTGATGGGCAAGCAGTTATTGGAATGGAATTCATGGTAATGCCTAGGAACACAGTCTCCTGTGACGGAGTCAAACTGCTTTTCACCATTTTCACCTGCAAGCCCAAGCATCCCACATGATGGAGTGCTAACAGAGTATTTCGAACCGCCTGGTCCCTCCTACTGGATGAAGGTCCCCGGTCTTCTTCAGAACCAGAAAATACATGGGATAAAAGCCCCTTGGATACCGCAGGGGGTCCACAGGCACTATAACACCCTTGGCCGGCAAGGTGCGGATCTCTTGGTCCAGTGCCTGTGCCTTCACCAGGTCGCGGATCACAGTCATCCTGACCCGCCCAGGGCCCTCATTTGGGCCAGCTCAGTAGTGAGATGATCCACTCTCATGGACACTCTCCCCGCGTTGGTCTGCCTGGCTTGCTTTGCCGGCACCGAAGGTGCAGCCACTGTAGACCGTTTGCACCTTGCCTTTCCTGGCGGCAACAGAAAGGCAAGGTGCTTTTCCGCGCAGTCAGTAGGCTGCTCCAGGCAGCCAACCGATCCAGCCTGACCGACCGGGGCATGACGCAACAGTTAGGGCAAGTGCTATCAGACAGCGCCTCCCTGAGACAGAAGGGGTACAAATCATGCCCGTCGTCGGGCTGAAGCGGAGGCAGACAAGTCGAGCAGCACGGATTATCCAGCATCATACTGCTAAAGCCTGCGTGATTTGTGCAGCCCCTGGAGGGCGAGACTTACCCGCAGCTCCGACCAAACCCGGACACGGGGCTACCGGCAACAAGCAGTGGTACACACAGAAGCAACCAGCTTCACATGACCACACCTGCGCGCGAGAAGAAAAGGGATTGAACGCCGGGTGCCATGTTACTTAATAGAGTCACGTGGGTCCCCGGGAGTTCACAGGTGACTTTGTTGTCATTAATACTCGACCTGCGCAAGAATGATCATTCAGTGCTTGAAGCACCGCCTCTGGCTTCAGTAGGGATGAAATGGAACCAAAAACATCCAGGGTAGGAAACTTCCTCTGCAGGCCTGAATAAGATGGATGTCTGGACATCAGGAATATAGTATATTTGGGATAAATGGATCAGATTTTTGTTTGTATGCCGAAATGATTTTGTGTAGCTCTTATTTACCAACTACGATGGAGTATTAGGGCCAAACTAGAGTTTTTTTTAAATATGAGAATGAAGTCATTATATTACGAGAATGAAGTCATTATATTACGAGAATGAAGTCATTATATTACGAGAATGAAGTCATTTAATTATGAGAATAAAGTTGCGACTTGAGTCTCGTAAAGTTGCGACTTGAGTCTCGTTAAGTTGCGACTTGAGTCTCGTTAAGTTGCGACTTGAGTCTCGTTAAGTTGCGACTTGAGTCTCGTTAAGTTGCGACTTGAGTCTCGTTAAGTTGCGACTTGAGTCTCGTTAAGTTGCGACTTGAGTCTCGTTAAGTTGCGACTTGAGTCTCGTTAAGTTGCGACTTGAGTCTCGTTAAGTTGCGACTTGAGTCTCGTTAAGTTGAGACTTGAGTCTCATAAAATTGCGACTTGAGTCTCGTTAACTTGCGACTTGAGTCTCGTTAACTTGCGACTTGAGTCTCGTTAACTTGCGACTTGAGTCTCGTTAACTTGCGACTTGAGTCTCGTTAAGTTGCGACTTGAGTCTCGTTAAGTTGCGACTTGAGTCTCGTTAAGTTGCGACTTGAGTCTCGTAATGTTGCGACTTGAGTCTCGTAATGTTGTGACTTGAGTCTCGTAATGTTGCGACTTTATTCTCATAACATTACAACTTTATTCTCATAATATTACAACTTCATTCTCTTAATGTTACGACTTTATTCTCATAATACTACGACTTTATAATGTTACATTGTTCTCATAATGTTATGCCTTTATTCTCGTATTAAAAAAATAAATCTCTAGCCTGGCCCTGATACCTAACCTCTCTGCCTCGACCTTCTCAAATTGGAAAAAAAGAATAGAAACTTGCTCCTCTTTAAGAATCGGCTCCCTGTTAAAGCCACCATGTTTCACTTAAACAGATATATATAATTTGTTGTTTCCGTTTCTTCATTTTTCTGGCTTCTGTTTTCATTTTGTTTAAGTTTTTATTTTTTAAATTAATGTTAAACCAAAAGTATAACTTATTTTCTGTGTAAAAATTTGTTTTTATCGTTTTCAATAAAACATTATTGGGGAAAAAAAACTTTTACAAATGTAATAAATAAAGCTATAAACTTCTTGTAACAGTTATTCAGTGGAATATATTGAGGCAAACCTACAACTCTTTATAACCGTGGTAAAATAAACAAGAACCAATGTTGGATGAAGCTAGCAGGCAGAGTTGGTGGTTCAGCTAACACTTATGTAACTGCTTTTTCCTATTTTGATGTTTGTAGAAACGGTTTAAATGAGCTTTGAGATTTCAGATTTGTGGTCTAGACTTTGACTAGACCAAAGCTTCTCTGGTTGTCCTGCTGGAAGGACGATTCATTCAGGGGAACATTCAGAAACAAACACCTCAGGAGTTGCTGGATTTAACCCGACAGCGCCCTTTGCAAACAAAACATTTCCACCCTTTTGTGTCTATGTACATTTTTCTAAGTCATGACTATGGATCATGGATGGCCGCTTGTATCATTGCTGACCCACTGACCTTGTAGAGAGCGTCGACCTTCTCCTGACACTTGATGTAGTCTTCATAGTCTGCAAACACTTTAAACCTGCAGCACAGGCGTTCAGCAGTGTTAGCAGTGCTAACATTAAGCAGACAGCTTGGATTCATGACAGGGACCTGTGTTACCTGTCGTGGTGCATCAGCATGTTGACCAGATCCTTGAAAAGACCAGGCTGGTCGGGGCTGAAGAAGCCTCCTGATATTTGATCCATCGCCTGCTTCAGCTCCGGAATGCGGTTGTAATAAGAGGCGGCATCATAGCTGAGGGGGAGAAACAAACAAAAAGCTTACCGTCATGTGGACAGGTCCAAGATACCTTAATCTTCCTCACAATGAAGGTTAACAGAGGGACCAGGACATAATCATTCCAAAAAACTTTGGACTTTTGTTTCCAAGTTTAAAGACGTTTCGCTTCCCATCCACGAAGCTTTTTTAATCCAAAGTGTCGGAAATAGGGTTGAGTTTGAGGCTTTTGGAATGTTTCCAACTAAACAACTTAGGTTACATTAGGTCTGATTTATTTTCAGTGTAAATAAAAAGATAAAAAGCTTATGCTAACTGGATGCTAATGTGTTTTAAATGTTATTTACAAACTGTATTCCAGTAAAGCTTTTAAAGTTGACAATGATGTTTTTTCTGATGCGCTCATTATATTTGGTTCCTAAAATATGACCAAACAGTCTTTTAAAAAGAGTTCCCTCGGGTCTGCTAGCTATTAGCACCTCTGGCTAATATCCTCTTATTCCAAACACTCAATTTTTCGGTCCGTGAGGCAGACACCCTGTCTACTTTTAAGGCTAGGCTTAAAACTTTCCTTTTTCATAAAGCTTCTAGTTAGAGTGGCTCAGGTTATCCTGATCTATCTCTATAGTTCTGCTGCTATAGGCTTAGACTGCTGGAGGACATAGGGACCCCTTTTTCATCATTCTGCTTCATTCTATCTCTGTTCTCCCACTCTGCAGAATCTGTTTAATCTGTTCTGCTCTCTCTGCTTTTCTTATCATAGTAGCTTCATCTGGTCTGTTCCTGTTGGGCCTGTTTTTCAGTGTTTAATCCTGTTTCTCTCCTAGACGTAGCTATGCGCTCAGCTTCTACTGAAACTAACTACATCTCTCTTGTCTCTTTTATCCATTTGAAGTGTAAACTGGCTCGGAGGTCGTCTGATTAATTGTTTCTGTCCCAGTCAGAGCCACCTGTGGAGCTAGTTTACCGTTAGCTTTCTAACTTGGAAAGTATTCATGGGTCAGTGTTTCTCTCTCCTTGAACCCCAGTCAGCCTCAGCAGAAGGCCTAATTGAGCCTGGTTCTGGTGGCAATCCCTGGGTGGAATGGATTACTGTAGAGTCAACGAAAAACTGCAATATCTATTGTTTCCACATTCTCATTCAAGAGGAGCTAATCCTGCAAATTCAATGACTGGATGCAATCAACTGGTTTTCCTTAGATGGAAAACTGAACCTTTAAACGGATGATTTGATTGGATCGTCTCTGTAAAGCTCCTAGAGATGACGTGCTTTAACTGGGGCCATATAAACAAACCAAGTTGAATTCTTTGATCGTCAGAAGTCGGAGTTCTGGATTATTTAAGAACACCCCTCCTGTTTAAACTCACCCCTTCCTGTCCAGCGCCTCCACATCTTCCACTCTCATGCCGAAGATAAAGAGATTTTCCTCTCCCGCCTCCTCCGCCATCTCCACGTTGGCTCCGTCCATGGTACCGATGGTGAGGGCGCCGTTCAGCATGAATTTCATGTTCCCAGTGCCAGAGGCCTCGGTTCCAGCTGTGGAGATCTGCTCCGAAAGGTCAGCGGCTGGGATGACTGAAACATTAGGAACAGACTGGAGTTAAGGATGCTTCAACACAAGCCTGACATGAACAGCAATATGTTACGTTCAGACAGCAAACAGCAGAAGCAGAGCAAAATGCGAGTGCTGCTTCATTTTTGATGCTTTTACAAGATTAGTTCTGACACTGAAGCATCTTTGCTGCTCTAGATGCGCGGTGGAGAAAGTGGGTCTGATGCACGTTGGGCGGAGCTACCATATCCTTTCTTAGCCTGGTTTCAGCATTTTAAGTTAATTTATGCGTTAATAAACTGTTTCAGAAGAGTGATCAAAGCGCTCTGCATCAGCAGTGCTGCGTCTGACTCCCTGCCAGCTCCCAGATCAGCTTCTCTGATTGGTTGATGCGGCGCGTCCAGCAGCTGACGTTCAATTTTTCCAACTCCAGCAGCTGTACCAAGCGCCAAGATGTACATCAAGCACTCTGCATGTAAACTAGGTGCCTCTGCTGCTTGCGGTGTGAAATTAGCATGAGTCTTTGTGCTGCTGCTGTTTTTACCCTTCTCAGCCAGAGTGACCTTGTAGTTCTCCAGAAAGATGACCTTAAGGCGGTCTCCCACCACAGGGTCGTTATTGACTATGTCCCCGATGGATGTGATCAGCTTGATGATCATTTTTGCAGTGTGGTAACCTGGAGCCGCCTAGAAACGGAAAAAATAAGGTCATCACAGAAGGTCAGTAAGGTAAAACAGCAAGTTTAATTTCCACACAGCCACACAGAACATGGAGGATTTTATTCAGCTGTGGGGTTTTAACAACATTGTATGTACTGTGTCAGATTAAGGACAACAACAATTTAACAAGCTCCTCGTGTCTGCAGCAGCCAGGGCTAACGTTAGCCCGTCTGCAGCAGCTAGGGCTAACCTTAGCCAGTCTGCAGCGGCCAGGGATAACGTTAGCCCGTCTGCAGCAGCCAGGGATAACGTTAGACCGTCTGCAGCAGCCAGGGATAACGTTAGACCGTCTGCAGCAGCCAGGGCTAACGATAGGCCGTCTGCAGCAGCCAGGGCTAACATTAGGCCGTCTGCAGCAGCCAGGGCTAACATTAGGCCGTCTGCAGCAGCCAGGGCTAACGTTAGCCCATCTGCAGCAACCTTCTCTCTGCATAGCCATGTGTGAAGTACTGCTGGCTCTGATCGCGATATTTTGGTTTTATTTGGCAAAATGTTAATCTAATTTGTATTTATCTGACTGTGTTCATTATTATTCCCGCCACTAAATGAAAAAAGTCGTAATTTATTATTATCTAAAGACTATTAGTAATAGGAGGTGAAATGTAGCTCCAGACTAGCTTTGAATGTGGTGATTAAGACCTACGAAAGACTGATTTAAGACATTTTAATACCAATTAAGGTCTTAATTTTATTTTGAAGAATTCAATGCCTTTTAAGATTTTTTAAGGACCCGCGGGAAGCCTGTTTTTATTGGTCAATGCTTTGGTCAGGCAAGTGTTTAAAGTAGGACAACATGCAGGTATATCTAACAAAGGGGGTGAAGGTTGCTCACCTTTCCTCCAATCATGATGGTCCTGGGGGTCCATGACTTGTTGGGCTCGTTTTTGATCCCTGATTGAGAAAAAAAACAACCATTAGAGATTATTTTCTCTGAGTCTAGATATAATCTATATCCGTTTCTGACGACGCTCACGGTTGTAAAGCGTGATGATGTGCAGGCAGTTGAGCAGCTGCCTCTTGTACTCGTGGATCCTCTTCACCTGCACGTCAAACATGGAGTTGGCGTTGATCTTCACCTTATAGTGCTCCTCCAGGTGGGCGGCCAACTTCAGCTTGTTCTCCTGAAAGTTCAAGCAAACAGACGCTGTTTCAAACCCAAAAAATGTGAATTGTACCGATAAACCCTGACATCCACGTTATAAACTATTACTTGTTTGATCTTTGCAACGTCTCTGATGAAGGCATTGTCGTCCACAAAGTCTAGAAGCTTCTTCAGCTGGTCTAGGTCGCGGATGTAGTCCTCTCCAATCCTCTGCAAGGTAAACAGGGCAGAGGCTGAGTTACAGGGCAAAAAAGGCAACCTTCAATAAAAATGGATGTGTAGGTTTATGAAATTGTAAAGAAAGTCAATAATGTCAATAAATTTAACATTTGCTAACTTATAAATACATGTGACACCAGATGTTTCATCTGTAGGAGTAGAAGTTTAAAAGTTATGAGTATGCTTTACTAGGTTACAACTTAGGAGCAATGCAAGAACAAAATCGCAATTCCCAACTACGATTGGAATATCTAGGAGTGCGAATCGCAAATTTACAGCTTCGATCGGAATATCTAGGAGTACAAATCGCAAATTTCCAACTATGACTGGAATATCTAGGAGTGCGAATCGCAAATTTACAGCTTCGATCGGAATATCTAGGAGTACAAATCGCAAAATTCCAACTACGACCGGAATATCTAGGAGTACAAAAAGCAAATTCCCAACTACGACTGGAATGTCTAGGATTGCGAATTGCAAATTTACAGCTTCGATCGGAATATCTAGGAGTACAAATCGCAAATTTCCAACTACAATTGGAATATCTTGGAGTACACTCACAAATTTACAACTACGTATAGTAAATCTACGAGTACAAATTGCAAACTTACAGGCACAAAAGGAATATCTAGGAGTACAACTCGCAAATTTCAAACTATGATTGGAATATCTAGGAGTACGAATCGCAAATTTCCAACTACGATTGGAATATCCAGGAGTACGAATCGCAAATTTCCAACTACAATTGGAATATCTTGGAGTACACTCACAAATTTCCAACTACGTATAGTAAATCTACGAGTACAAATTGCAAACTTACAGGCACAATAGGAATATCTAGGAGTACAACTCGCAAATTTCAAACTATGATCGGAATATCTAGGAGTACGAATCGCAAATTTCCAACTACGATTGGAATATCCAGGAGTACGAATCGCAAATTTCCAACTACGATCAGGATATCTAAGAGTTCAAATTGCAAATTTGCAACTACGATTGGAATATCTAGGAGTACAATCGCAAATTTACAACTACATATGGTAAATCTACGAGTACAAATTGCAAACTTACAGGCACGATAGGAATATCTAGGAGTAGGAATCGCAAATTGCTAGATACAATTTGAATACCTAGGAGTACAAATCACAAATTTCCAAATACGATTGTAAAATCTAGGAATACAAATCGCAAATCTACAACTACGTATGGTAAATCTACAAGTACAAATCGCAGATTTACAGGTACAATTGGGATATCTAGGAGTAGGAATCGCAAATTTACAACTACGAATGGTAGATCTACAAAAGATAGCAAATTTACAGGTATGATTGGAATATCTAGGAGTACAGATCGCAAATTTACAACTACGAATGGTAAATGTACGAGTACAAATCGCAAATTTACAGGCACGACTGGGATATTTAGAAGTATGAATCACAAATTTACAAGAACGAATGGTAAATCTAGGTGTGCATATCGCAAATTAAGTAGAGAGGCGTAGTACCAAAACTATATTTCCGAATAGGAATGTTAAATTTAGAAGCGCGAATTAAAAGAAAATTACAAGAATAAATTCTGAATTTACGAGTGAACATCACAAATACACGGGTATGAAATAGAACTTTTCAAATATGAGTCAAATTAACAAATACGATTCCCCTTTACAAGTTAATATCTCCAACGCCTGATGACGCTACTATACTCCTAACCAGATGGTGGCAGTAAAGAGCCTGAAGGTTGTTCACCAGCAGCCATTAAAGGAGAAGACGACAAAACAGAACCATTGCTTGAACATAATACTGCCTAAGTGTCAAAAACATTTCAGCAAAGACTTAACCATCAATGGATCTGTTTTCATCTTCTTCCAGTTCTTTTTTAACATTGTTGGTGAACAACCTTGATGTGCATTACTGCCACCAACTGGTAAGGAGTGTAACAGCTTCTACAGGGGGTGGAGATTCAGACTTCTAAATATTTTATTTGTAAAATTCAAAAATCTGATGTCACATTTTTGTATTAATCGTCAAGAAAAAAAATCTTAAAATTAATCTTACATTCACAAATGTAGAAACTGGCGCCTACATTTTAATTAACAGTTATTTTACCCAAAGGCAGGAAATATCTGCCAACTACTATAATATACATGATTTTTTTTTAAATTATTCTAATTACTGATGATAAAAGTGAGACGTGTCTTTAGCTGTGATATTTCATGACTTTGTCCTCCAGTGATCATCAGCACACACACCTCAGCTATGACCTCAGCCAGGCCAGGGTTGCACATGACCAGCCATCGCCTGGGCGTGATCCCATTGGTCTTGTTCTGAAACTTCTCAGGATCCATTTCGTAGAAGTCCTTGAACCTGAAGGAGTTCGACAATATTTGCGTGAGTATGTTTCATGCATCAGGTCACAACCTAAAGTCCAGCATGGCGAGATCACCTGCTCAATCAGATTTGATTATTGCTTTAAAAGAGGGAAATGTGTTTGAAATCAGTTTCCCTGTAAGCTAAAAATAACTGCCTCAAAGTTAAGACTGCCATCATCATGTTCCACTCAAAGAGTCTAGAAAAGTCCTGAACTTTAACGATTTAAACGGCAAAAATTTAATTAATCTTTTCTTGAAATGAATAAATGTTCCCTGATTTAGATCAAATAAGACAAATAAGCCACAGAATGAAATACTTCATGCAGAAAACAGAAAAGAAAGAGATTATCTTATTAGGAAAAAAATTATATTTTCATCAGCAGATCACCTTGTTTACCTGCTCATATTAAAGCTAAATATACTTATTTTATTATTATTTTTTTCTTTATTGTTCAGTTTTTGCTGTGAAAACTGTCAGCTAAAGTATTTGGAGGCCATAAAGTTTGGATAAATTTTTGCCAGAACATATAAATTTCCAAAAAGCGCATAGAGCCAAATCAAGCGACTTTTTTCCCCCTGTGTAAATGGAGACAAAAGAAGCACTGAACTCTGTCTTCCTGAGCAAGTTTTTTTAACCACAGAGAAACAGTGAAGCTAAACCTAGTAAACGCCACCTAGTGGTGAATAATGAGTCATAGTGGTCAGCTCAGCAGAAGCAGCGCTGCATCCAATGCTACTTACGGCCAAGTTGCTAAGCGATATTTGAATGAAACAAGGAAAACGGTCTGATTTTTGTAGAAAAAGAAGAAATGAATAAATCATTTCAGAGTTAAAACCTGGTCTCGCTGGTTTACTTGTTTAAAGTAGCATAAAAAGGCCTAAACTGTTCAGGTCTGTTACTTTTAAATGTTTATTTTTTAAGATCAGGAATAAACACGGATGAAAGAATCACTCTGAGTTTGTTTAGCAAACTCTAATAAACTGACACTCCAACATGATTTCAATTAAAATCACTGGATGTTGATGGCTTTTTCTTTTTAAACTATCTATTTTAACAAACTATTTTTTAACTATTTAACGACGTTTTTAAACTACTGTATTTATGCAATTCTACAATTCTGGAAAGAGGCCTCAGAATGTCTAATGGCCCTCGAGGTTTCTACGTATTAAGTTAATTTAGGCGTTAATAAACTGTTTCAGAGGAGTGATCATAGCGCTCTGCATCAGCAGTGCTGTGTCTGACTCCCTGCCAGCTCCCAGATCAGCTTCTCTCATTGGTTGATATGACGCGTCCAACAGCTAAAGTTCAATTTTTTTCAACTCCAGCAGCTGCTGCTTCTGAAGCTCATGACTCTTGATTCGCGTCAACCTTTGACATATAAACTAGCTGCTTCTGCTGCCTCTGCTGCTTGCGGTCTGAACGTAGCATTAGCATCCTGCTTCATTCCAAAAGAAAAGCATTGTGGGAGAAAAAAAAAAGCCAAGGTCAAAGTGAATATAAGTGGGATCAAACAACTTCTACAAACAATTCAGGAACAAAATTTCCCTGCGTGATAGAAGGAGTAGATCTTTGACCAACCAGGATGAACTCCAAGCACTAAGACTAAAGCGGGTCGCCCTGGATCAGACAAACGATCAAAACCCTGCAGATTGAATAACTTTCTAAAATAAAATAAGAAATTTTGACTATTAAGCAGCCAGCATCTGGTCTCCGGGTTGTTTTTTTTATGTTACTGCCAGTAGATGGCGCCACATCTATTCATGTCTGCTCATTGCACCCAGTGCTGGAATTCTATTTAGGCTTAGAAAGGAAACGATTGAACCGCTATCATGATGCTTGGTGTCTTTGACCTGATTTTATCAGGATCAAATGGTTTATGGTCTTTTTTGCAAACACATAAAGCAACTATGCAGCTTTTATTTGATGCATTTTTTAACTACATGTGTTTAAAATATATGCCATGATGTGAAAAATGAGAATACAGCCACCAAAGTTAGCCATGACACCTTATCAAACCCAAAGGTTAGACAGCTGCAGAGGAAGGAGGGTTTTATTTATTTACACCGTGCTTTTGATGATTTCTGAATGGATGCGGGCCACTCCGTTGACTGCATGAGACCCCACGATGCACAGATGAGCCATGTTGATTTTTTTGGTGTTCCCTTCCTCGATGAGGGACATTCTGCGCAGACGGTCGTGATCTCCGGGGTAGAGCTTAGAGATGCGCTGCAGGGGCAGAAGAGAAGAACATGTACAGAGATTTTAGCTCCAGTCAATCGATAGATAAAAGTTTCCTGTTGTAAAGCAACACTTTAGCCCCATTTCCACTACCCTCTGAAAACCGATCCGTGGCAAATTCGGTTCCTTACGACCATTAACACACCACGCTAGCACGGTTCCTCGCCTCCTAGCGGCGATGTACGGTATTACTGCTCTCTAGAGGTAAACAAGCAAACCAACATGGCGGCGCCCGTAATATTCAGGTGAATAAGGCAGCCATTGGTGAATTTACTTGAGAGAGTCAGCTTTTGGGAAGTGGATACGACCAACGATAGTCTAATCAGGGCTTACAGACGCAGAAACAACGACAGACGTTGAGGTTCATCACACTGCTAAGCAGAATCATCTCTGCACCGTAGGGAAGTTAGCATTTTTATGAAGGTCTCATGATTACGGAGGCCGACTATAAAGGGCTGGTTATACTCCTGCAGCAGTGTGTCGCAGTGAGCTTGACGCAGATATTTTTGATTTTTGGTCAATTTTGAGCGTGGTCTGTGCTACGCGCTGTGGGTCTGGATACGGCCAAGATGGTGAGGAAGTGGGGGCAAGTTTATCTGACAACGGAGGACATGACCGCGAAAAAGAGCGGGGATCCAGGTGGAAGAAGGGTCCCAAAGTTCTCGCGCATTTTGATCTTCTAGCTCAGGGGTCTGCGACCTGCGGCTCCGGAGCCACATACGACTCTTTGGACCCCCTACAGCGGCTATATATAAAGAGCTAAATAATGTACTAGTCTTAAATGTTTTTTTAAACACAAGATGGAAAAGAATGACATTAACAGAACCAGAAGTATGTTTTTAGAAGCAATTTTCTTTTAATTAGCTTGGAATTTATGTGATCAATCTTATTTTAAAAGCTAAAAATACATAATTTGTTGGCAACTAATTTCCCATACGAGATATAAAAAAATAGGCTTTTTTTTGATAAAGTCAGGTTATATTTTGAGGCCCTAAACAACTTTTACTTGGTCGCATTCGGGGCTAAATGGTAGCCTCGTGAGACCATCCTGATCTCGCGAGCTTTCAAGGTTTCACTCGCTAATCAGTCTGGAGACTCTCCGTTAAAGAAAATTTGGAGCCGTTCACCAAACAAACATCCAATCAGCGTTGGCTTTGAGGCGGGTTGAGGTGTGACGCAAAGAGAAGCGCGACAGTTCAGTCTAAAGAACATGGCGGCTTCAGCCGATGAAACTAGCGTTAGCGTGGCTATCGAGCAAGTTTTATCGGAATTACAGAGTATTTCTTCACTGAAAGAAGAGCAAAACACTGCTCTGGAGGCTTTTCTCAGAGGAAAAGATGTTTTTGCTCTTCTCCCGACTGGTTTCGGCAAGAGTTAGCCTGGCTTGTGGTTGTGTTTTCGTCGTCGCTCTGTTAGTACGTTGTTGGATTAATTGTACAAGTTATTCTACTTTAATCATATTATACTTATACATTCATATTTACACATTTGCATATTCCTGTATACTTGTATTACACAAAGTGTTGAAATGTTTCACTTGCTGTCTTTCTAATGCTTGTTATTAGTGTGTGCAGGAAGCAAGGTCAGGAGAATGGAGGATTGCACGTACTGGCACTGGATGAGGAGTGAAGCACTCCTTATCTCATGATATTGTATGATGTGATGCAGAACTTCTGGTACCGACTGGGTTTCACCCCCTCCCTTTAGCAGTCGGAACCAACATTGTAGCCAGGGCGTTTCCTTTAATAAAGGCTTGTGAGAGCAGAGCTGTTTCAGAGTGGTTTAGAGAATTGTAACTGAACAGTCTCTGATCACTCTCCTTGCAAGTAAATCATACTAAAATTCTCTGTGTCTTTCTTTGTACAGGTTACTGCATAAAATGTTTGGTGTTTAAACCTAACATACGTCATATGCTTCGTTGATCTGATTGGTTTATTTGGCCCGTCTATCACCAACATAGGCCAATCAGCTAACCAGTATTTTCGCCCCTTCCCAAAATTACTTCTACGGAAGGTTTCCAGATGGATATGCGGAGCAAATCCATCTGGCGGAGTCAGGTTAGCGAAATGGCTCCTTGGATATGAAAGGTTGCAGACCCTGTTCTAGCTCGTCCAACTTCACGAGTTGTTTTCTGCAATTTCGGTCATAAAAACAAATCAAGCCGGCCTCCTGTCTGCGGCACATTGTCTGCGGAGGGGGCGGGGACGTCTTTGAGTTCACTGCGACACCTGCGCAGACGACCTGGTTTCGAAGTATAAATTAGCCTTAAGGAGATGACGCGGTCCGCACAATCGATCTTTGTTATCCGAGAACTTAGCCAGAACTTAACTACTTAACTATGTACTTAACGCGCCGAGTCCTACTGATAAACTAGTACCATGTTAGCGCGGTTCATTATACCGTAAACAAAATGCCTCATTGGTCGGGACCCAACAGGTCTGTCTTTAAGGTGTCAACAGATGAGCATGCAGGCTGTTTCATCATGTTTATGTAATAATAAACAAAGACAGCTGTCATTCTCTCTCTGCTCTAGATGTGGTGTAGCCTGATCGGCGCTTTGACACAGAAACAATCCTAACTCTGCAGCTATGAGCTCAAACCTGGACGTTTCTTTCTCTAATATTTTAAGCACCTGCAGAAGAAAGCTGCAGTTTTTGTTTTTGTTTTTTTTTACATTTAAATGTTTATTAGTATTTTTCATATTTGTTTACATACAAAATATACATGAACACTTCACATTCAACATAACATAAAACCTTTGCTTTGGAGCTATTTCTCTACCTCACATTTGTCCCATCTAGATCATCTATTTTTTGTCGCTGTCTTTTGTTTTTAATGTTTTCTATTCCATCCACTTTTCTTCCATCTGAGTTTGCTGAAGCCTCATAGCGTCAGTTTTTTCCAGAATGTAGATTTCTTCTATTATTTCGGTCCTGCAGTTTTAATTCTTTGAACTAAAGTTGGACGTACCAAGAAGCGTCGCCTATCAAAACTCCACCTGTCGGATGCTTTTTAAAGAGCAGGGATTTTGGTTTTTGGTCAATACAACAATTTAAAACTAAAGTAGTTAAAAAAAAAAACAATTAAAAATTTTTTGGTGGGTTCTTTTTATGCCACATTCTAGATGCCACTGGTTGGAGGTATATCAAGCATACAGGTGCTGGTCATAAAATTAGAATATCATGAAAAAGTAGATTGATTTCAGTAATTCCATTTAAAAAGTGAAACTTGTATATTATATTCATACATTACATACAAACTCATATATTTCAGATGTTTATTTTGTTTAATTTTGATGATTACAAATGACAACAAATGAAAATCTCAAATTCATCATATCAGAAAATTAGAATATTGTGAAAAGGTTCAAAATTGATGGCCCCTGGTGCCACACTCTAATCAGCTAATTAACTCAAACCACCTGCAAAAGCCTTTAAATGGTCTTTCAGTCTAGTTCTATAGGCTACACAATCATGGGGAAGACTGCTGACTTGACAGTTGTCCAAAAGACGACCATCGACACCTTGCACAAGGAGGGCAAGACACAAAAGGTCATCGCTAAAGAGGCTGGCTGTTCACAGAGCTCAGTGTCCAAGCACATTAATAGAGAGGCGAAGGGAAGGAAAAGATGTGGTCGAAAAAAGTGTACAAGCAAGAGAGATAACCGCACCCTGGAGAGGATTGTGAAACAAAACCCCTTCAAAAATGTGGGGGAGATTCACAAGGAGTGGACTGCAGCTGGAGTGAGTGCTTCAAGAACCACCACACACAGACGTATGAAAGACATGGGTTTCTGCTGTCGCATTCCTTGTGTCAAGCCACTCTTGAACCACAGACAGCGTCAGAAGCGTCTTGCCTGGGCTAAAGAGAAACAGGACTGGACTGCTGGTGAGTGGTCCAAAGTCATGTTCTCTGATGAAAGTAAATTTTGCATTTCCTTTGGAAATCAAGGTCCCAGAGTCTGGAGGAAAAGAAGAGAGGCACTTCATCCACGTTGCTTGAAGTCCAGTGTAAAGTTTCCACAGTCAGTGATGGTTTGGGGTGCCATGTCATCTGCTGGTGTTGGTCCATTGTGTTTTCTGAGGTCCAGGGTCAACGCAGCCACATACCAGGAAGTTTTAGAGCACTTCATGCTTCCTGCAGCTGACCAACTTTTTGGAGATGCAGATTTCATTTTCCAACAGGACTTGGCACCTGCACACAGTGCCAAAGCTACCAGTACCTGGTTGAAGGACCATGGTATCCCTGTTCTTAATTGGCCAGCAAACTCTCCTGACCTTAACCCCATAGAAAATCTATGGGGTATTGTGAAGAAGAAGATGCAATACACCAGACCCAACAATTCAGAAGAGCTAAAAGCCACTATTAGAGCAACCTGGGCTATCATAACACCTGAGCAGTGCCACAGACTGATCGACTCCATGCCACGCCGCATTGCTGCAGTAATACAGGCCAAAGGAGGCCCAACTAAATACTGAGTGCTGTACATGCTCATACTTTTCATGTTCATACTTTTCAGTTGGCCAACATTTCTATAAATCCTTTGTTTTTATTGGTCTTCAGTAATATTCTAATTTTCTGATATGATGAATTTGAGATTTTCATTTGTTGTCATTTGTAATCATCAAAATTAAACAAAATAAACATCTGAAATATATGAGTTTGTATGTAATGTATGAATATAATATACAAGTTTCACTTTTTAAATGGAATTACTGAAATCAATCTACTTTTTCATGATATTCTAATTTTATGACCAGCACCTGTATTTAGTTTACGCTGCAAAACTTATTTTAAGAAAAACTGACCCACTTATAGGAACAAGTTGCAAGTTGCAAGTTGCAAACATTTCCATGGAAATAACAAATAACACGCTATGCTGACGATATCGCTCTTTTTGTATGAACTGCTTCCATTCAATACATTATGCCAAATGCCGTTAATGTATTTAACAGTATATTGGACTAGGGATGCACGATATAATCAGCCCCCTATCGGTATCGGCCTTAAAACTGAATATCGGACATCGGCCACCCCACCGATATTTAACCCGATATTTGATCAGCTTCTGAGTTTCTAAAGTCTAAAAAAAAAAAAAAATACTACTTCTTCTTCTTCCTCAAAAACTTCTTTTTTACAGACTTAAAAACTTCTAAAGACGAGGGAAAAAATATTGATCCATTAAAATATCCCAATATCTTCATATGCTGATATATTGCCATTTAAAAACACCATATCAATCTCTTTTACTAATGAAATATTGCTATATGTCATCGTTATGCTACGAAATCCCCCGAAAATTCACCAAATGTTGCCATATTTTTATATGTTGATATATTGACGCGGTATCGATCTATTTTACTAACAAAATCTCACAAGAATTTGCAAAATATCATGAGAGTTTGTAACAGAACGATGAAATTTCACCAGATTTTGAAAGTAAAATAGATCGATACCGCGTTTTTAAAAATCAATTTGATATCAGCATATGAAAATATATTTGAGTATATTATTTTTCAAAGTGTCAGAAATGGATAACAAAACTGCTATTTTCAATGACTACTTATTTTCGTCCCGCTTTAACATCGGTATCGATATCGGTTATCGGCTACATGAGTTTTAAAATATCGGCATATCGGATATCGGCCAAAATTCCAATATCGTGCATCCCTATATTTGACCATAAAAGAAATGAAGCTGTTTGTATTTCCTGAACTACAAAATGACTGGTTTAACTGGGGAAATCGTAATTTGTTGTGATAGCGAGATATCACGGACCTGAAAACAGACACCCCCAACACAGGAACCGCAATATCTGCTGGATTTGTCTCTTTCTAGGTTTAATTTCTGAATTTTTGACCAAAGAAAAACATATATCGCCGGATTAAACATTCTTTTTCTGTGGATTGTTACAAACAAGAGGAGCCTAAACATGCCTGGAAGCTGGAACCCACAACCGTGGGACATTTGTGAAGCTATATTGGGCAGGAAAGAAAAAATACTTTATAGTTATTGGTTTGAGGTGGCTTATTTTTGCTAACTTCATTGTTTTCTTGAGAAAAAAAAAAAAAAAAATGGATATCCATGAAGCTGGCAGTGAGTGACAAATAATTAGTCAGGATCCCACTGAGCAAATAAAAATGATTGTATGCCTCAGGAGGTCTAGCAGTTTATTCCCCAGTTAAGAGGCTAGAACTTCATGAGGATTCACGGGAAGTAGGGGTGCTGCAGCACCTCCTAGTGGCTAGAGGGAAATAAATGATTTATTAAAAATACTTTGCACAATTTATACATTTCTTATGAATATTTTGGGAAAATACTTTGCCTTTTCTTTTTATATTACTATTAGGTGTATTTGGATTTTAAAGTAGTAGGGAAGCCGCTGTTCCAAATGTTGCATTTCTGAATTCTCCTGAGTGGTGCCCGACTTTACGCGAGTGAATAAAGTGAATGTGATTGGTCGATTATCAAGGGGGTGGGATTGTTGTGTCCTCAAATTTGTGTTTTTCAGGTTGCATTTTTTAAAAAGTCTACTTAAAAAATTATATAATCTGTATTTCTGGATTAAAGGGTAAAGCAGCATCAAAATGTTTACAACATTTATCTACTCTAACTTTATAATTCATTTTACTGATACTTATTTTTTGTTGCTCTGGCTATGTTCTTTAATTGTTGATGTTGAAAATTGTATTTTATTTTAATTTCTTTGTCTTTGTTTTCCCTTCATGCAAACGTGAACTGTAACTTTTTAAGTTTTGTAATAAATAAAAAAAAATAAAATAAAATAAAAAAAAAAAAAGGTTGCATTTTAACAGGGCTGTAAGGATTCTATACAATTAAACAGGTCTGGTGTTCTGGTCCGGTTGCTACCGCTAATGATAGCCGACCCTGCTGCTACACGGAAGCTAAGCTTGGCGATCAACAATGGAGGGAGAAAGCTATGGGTAAAAATAAGCGCAGAGAAATAGAGAACGTTCTAAAGCTTTAGGGTCATTTAAACTTAAACTCCGCAGCTCAGCACTGATTGATTCTCACCCTTTACTTTAGGAAGAACTGCGTTACGATTGTTCACCATTTGGATCAAACCATTATGTGAAAACAGGGGGTTGCAGCACAGAGGATAATTATTACAAATAAATGATACCATTAATATTTAATTCCCTATACCTTTTTTTGGAACCAAAAACAAGACGTTTGTAGCTTTACTCATCAGAAAGGTTCTGTAAATTTTAAAACAGAACTATGTAAAAAAAAAAAAAATCTAGAACACAATATACACCGTTCTTTTGTTTATTACCACTACACTGAGAGCTATCTTTTTATTATCTTATACCAAAGTAACTATTAGTAAACGTCTGAAAAACAGTTATTTTAAAAACTGAACATATGAAATCAGATGAAAAAAATAAAAACATGAAAAATAAATTTAAATAAAAATGCTAATAAAATGGGAGAAAAACCGCAAAACCTTTTTCTGATTAAAAAGTTTTTCAATGTTTTACTTCTAGATTGCATTTTTCGTTTTCTTAAATTTGCAATTTTTAAAATATTTCCCATAAAAAAGTTTGTTTCTTGCTTGGTAAAATAATGGAACAAAATTCATTCCACGGCCAATCAGGAAACATTTGTGAAATGCTGTAAAAGACGCATTAAAATCCTCTTAAATTCCTGTTTTACCTCCAGATGCCTCCTGTTGATCTCGTAGATGATCTCCAAGTGTCGAGGCAGCAGGTTCTGGAACAGGTCCAAAGGCCAGCGCTCCAGGGCTTCAGGCAGGACGGTGTGGTTGGTGTAGGCACAAGTCCGGGTCACAATGTCCCAAGCCTGCAGACAGTCAGAACAAAACGACCTGAAACTCAAGAAGAATCATTCTGGCTGCCTGCAAACAGACGGAGGACTCTGGTAACTCATTACGACAATCTACAAAGCACAGCTTTAGGGTTTTGGTTAGCTGACCATCGCAGCTGCTGGCTGCCGCCAAGTCATAGTTAGGTCAGGCCTCTGTCACACCTTGCTGATTTATCCAGTGTTTGTCCCAGAATCTCCTAAAACACTGGCATACGCTGAACTTTCTATTACCCCATTTACGCTACCCTTTAAAAACCGATCCATGCTGAGACCGGTCCAAGCTCGGATCAGTTTACACGTCACGCTATCTCGGTTCCTCGATTCCTCGCCTCCTAGTGACGATCTGCGGTATTACCGCCAGTATTGAAGGAGGAAATCAAGCAGTTGGTGGCGGTAATGCACCAAAAGTTGTTTGCCCATCGCCGTAAAACACAAGAAGAAGAAGAAGGAGGGAATCAAGAAAATCAAAATGGCGGCGCCCGTTACATTCAGAAAGGTATGCTTGATTATTATTGCTGTACTTCGGTGTTATTATTTAAAATGTTGCGTGGAGAAGATCTCGATTTTTGTTTATAGTTTAAGAAGAAGATGTTCTTCTTCTTCTGTTTCCGGAGGGGCATTAGTGCCAACTACTGGAATGGAGTGTGAATCGCGATGTGCAGCCAGACGGAGATGACGCGTTCTGCTCATGCGCTCTTGTTATCGGAGAACCGAGCCAGGGAAAAACCGAGTCGAGCCCACCTCTGGAACCGGTCTGCAGTTAGCTCGGTCCGGTTGTGTCTAGCTCGGTTCGGTTCAGTTTGCTTTCCATTTACACACCATAAGTTATCTCCGTTACTGAGCTCGGACTGGTCTCACCACGGTTTTTCAAGGGTAGTGTAAATGGGGTATATGTATTTTTTTAATTTTGGGCGTATACATAGAAGTATTCATAAGGAGTCTAGCACTTATGTCCAACGACATCTTAACGCACAGCAGCGTAAGGCCCACCCAAGAAATGATGCATCATTTCTTTGATTGCAGTGTAGATACCGGATCTGCTTCCTGCCAGTGACGTTACGCTACATGATTGGCTGAGCGTTGCCACATGATGTAAAACATTGTGGTTGCCCAGACAACGATAATAACATCGTGCAGCCTCAGTGTGCAGACTCGGTAGCACTGTGGCTAGCTGTACTCAGTAGCTAACAGGTTAGCCTCTTTTAGCTCGCTCAGTTAGCCACCGTAAGCTAAGCTACATTTGAATTTGTGTCAACAACAAACATTATTTTTCTACAAGTAGAATAACTGTTTTATCTGTCTGAAATCTCTATGAAAGTCATTTTAAGATGTTCCATTTTTCCTCCTCTGCCCTCAGATCTTAATAAAAATAACAAAAATAATCTGACTTTTTTCCCCCCTTGTTAAACGGCAGAGCTCAGACTGAGAATGACTGTTTTCTACTTTCAGCTACTTAAGATCACCAATGAAATGTAAAATAATTGCAAATATAGGAAATAATATGTTGAGACTCAAAATGAGATTTGATCCTTAAGAAATAGGTGCGATACAGTTTGTCAGAGTGGAGTTGCAATATGATGACATCATAAGAAGGGGCGGGTAACTCTCTTCCTGGAGGAATTCTGCACATGCATGAACGGATATACATCTGGGTGTCCGTAAATAATGTAATTATGGTACTAAAATTACTTATTTACATCCTTAACTCACTAACCTCACTAATACACATCTTGAAAAAAAAATTTTCGTGACTTTTGTGAGACAATTTAATGTTTTTTTTTTACATTTTCTTTGTTAAACTGCTTCTCTGACATGCTCAGAGCAGTCCGGCAAAATATAATCAAACCATGTTTATCTGCATGTTAGTTGTTTCCTTCTTTAGATTACGCATTATATACCATAATGTCAATACGAAATGAAAACATAAAACTCAGAAAGACTAGATTTATGTTTAAATCCAAAGCTGAAAAAGTTAGCTCACGGAAGGATCCCATTTCCAGTGCAGATCATCCAGAGACGAGTGATGAAACAGAAAAGATTTTAAGACCCGAGCAGATCTGGTACCTGAACCGTATTAATCTAACTGCTGTTTACCACCTGCCAAAAAAAAAAAAAGAAATAAAGAAAAAGAAAGAAGGTTTCCATTTAAAGTCTAGTAAAGCTTCTGTATCTGAAACATGCTAAGCGGCACCAGATACGTTTTTCTGTTTAGATATAAGCAACTTAAGCAAAGCTCCACTAAGCTGGTCTGAGCTGGCATCAAGTCGGTCCACACCACACCAGGCTCCCAGCTGCTGCTGAAGTCATGGTGAAGTAAGGCGCCACTGATAAACAGATCAGAGCAGACGCTGTTCAGAACATAAATTATGATCGAAGATAAACCAGAACCTGAACGGTTCTGCTGCTGCAAACGTTCACAGAGACCGTGGTTCGCTTAAAGAGTCAAAAAGCAGCTAAAAACAGACCCATCTTTTAACTATAACGCCTCTAATTAAAGCTTTAAAAATAATAGCAGAGGGAAATGATCGTAGATAAAAACCCGTGCATTGGGTAGAGAGTTTTTCTTCGTACTGGTATCGAAGGTTGAAAACGCTCTGCTAAGACATAAGTATGCAGCAAATACAAAAAATACTGCAAAACAAAAAAAGATACCCATACATAAAACACACGCATTGGGGAAAAAAGCTGTAATTAATGAAAAGTCTGCATGGCGGAGGTACTCCAGGCCACTAGGGGGAGCTATTAGACAGAACTACAAATTAGACCCTTCCTTCCAACTCCCAGCAAAATCCTCCCCAACTTCCAGCCACTGGCCTTTTCCTGGGAGTGCATTTTTTTTCTACTACAACTCAACCCTTTCACTGAATTACAGGCTCTGACCAGGAGATGGCGCTTCTCTAAAGATCTAAATGTCCACAAATCAAGACAGAAAGAATATTTTAGTACAAAGATTGATGTTTAAAAAGGAAATTACTGATTTTATGTTAGATTAGATGCTAAACAATGCCTGTTTTAGCTAGGATCTAGATCTATGCGTTACAGCTACAGTAAAGTCCTGCAGGGCTGAATTCTGGACAAGCAGGGTTTAAAGGTCATGGAACAACCGAAACCCTGGAATAAAACATCAACATGCCTGTGCTTAGTGTAAAGGAAAATCACAATAAAATCGCAATATTGGTTGAAAATAATTGCAATTTTTCATTCAGCCCTTCTCAGGAACAGTCTCTACCTTCTCCCAGTCGAGTTTCTCGATGTCCACCAGGATCCTCATCAGCTCAGGAATAGCGAGAGCAGGATGAGTGTCGTTCAGCTGGATGGCCACCTACAGACGGAGGAGAAAAACTCATTAGAGACCAAATTTAAAAAGCTGAAGCCTAACGGATCTGGCAGCATTTTGAAGCCAACTATAGCGTTAATGGTATATAGGTAAAGATTACCATATTTTCTGGACTATATAGTGAACCTCAGTATAAGCCGCTGATATCTACTGAACTAAACCTCTAGGGGGAGCTCTACATGTAGCCCTGGAGGGACAAAGAATGCTAGTTCCCATTAGCTTGTTAGCTCGCAGCAGTAAGAGCTTCTACTGAAAGATGGAGCTTCATCAGCTCTTTATTTCAGCTCATTGGTTCTGCAGCTTTAATGCAGCAAATAAATGTCAAAATTTGTGAATTTGGGACATTTGTTCTCCGCCACACCTGCTGCTAGCATGTTTTTGCGCTAAATGAAAATTAGCCCCTTATTCTTTCATTTCCAACTTTTACTTCCCCCTCCTGGCAGGTAGGAAAACTCCACAGAAAAGCTGCAGCTTCTGATAAGTTCTAATAAGAAAATGAAAAAGAGAGATCATATCTCTCCTATCCTGGCTTCTCTTCATTGGCTTCCTGTTAAATCTAGAATAGAATTTAAAATCCTCCTTCTCACATATAAAGCCTTAAATGGCCAAGCTCCATCTGATATCAGAGATCTGATTGTTCCTTATGTTCCTAACAGAGCACTTCGCTCTCAATCTGCAGGTTTACTAGTGGTTCCTAGAATTTCTAAAAGTAGAATGGGAGGCAGATCTTTTAGTTCTCAGGCTCCTCTCCTGTGGAACCAACTACCAGTTTTAGTCCGTGAGGCAGACACCCTGTCTACTTTTAAGACTAGGCTTAAAACTTTCCTTTTTGATAAAGCTTCTAGTTAGAGTGGCTCAGGTTATCCTGAGCTATCTCTAAAGTTATGCTGCTATAGGCTTAGACTGCTGGAGGACATAGGGACCCCTTTTTCATCATTCTGCTTCATTCTATCTCTATTCTCCCACTCTGCAGAATCTGTTAGTTCAATCTCTAACGTTCTGCTCTCTCTGCTTTTTCTCATAGTAGCTTCATCTGGTCTGTTCCTGTTTGGCTGTGACTCCATCCTGGAGAGAAACATCAGCTGTGCTGCTGCCATCAACACCTTTGTTTCTAGATGTTGGAGCTTGGCCTGTTTTCCAGTGTAGTCCTGTTTCTCTGACTGTGACTAACTGGATGTGCTCTCTTCATCCTCTGACATGGGAGCTGGCTCGGAGCTCGTCTGCCTGGCTGTGTGTTTCCTGGACGGGGCCGCCTGTGGAGCTGGTTGACAGTTGCCTTTTGTATCTATGCTTCTTTTTCTACGTCTGCTTCTGTCTCCTTGAACCCCAGTGGGCCTCAGCAGATGGCCGCTCACACGGAGCCTGGTTCTGCTGGAGGTTTCTTCCTGTTCAAAGGGAGTTTTTCCTCTCCACTGTCGCTACAAGCATGCTTAGTGTGAGGGATTGCTGAAGAGTCAATGAGTCGATGCAATCAGCTGGTTTTCCTTAGATAGAAAACTTTGAATCAATCTGACTGGATGATCTGGTGAACTGGAAAGTGACCTGAGATGACCTGATGTGAATTGGAGCTATAGAAATAAACTGAATAGAATTATAAGCCGCATGGTTCAAAGCGTGGTAAGAAAGTAGCGGCTTATAGTTCGGAAAATATGATACATAAAGAACATAGAAAAAAAAAATCGACAATAGGCGCTAATGTAGTTAGCAAACATGTGGGACTGTGATGAAGCCGTCACCTTTTCAGGCATCTTGGCAAGGTCTAATCTCACAAACTCCGTGGAGCCAAACTTGGAGGCTTTGAATCTTCGGATGATGTCTTGAAGAGTCGCTGCTACAACAAAGTACTCCTGCTTCAGACGCAGCTCCTTCCCCTCGAAAAACTGAGGAACAAACACAGATTGTTTCATTCATCTGTTTTTCTACAGCCAGGTAGAACCCGAGTCGTTAGAGAAACGGCGTCATTTCTCCAATCCTCACTCACGTTATCATTGGGGTACAGAACCCTGGAGATGTTCTCAGCCAGGTTCCTATCCAGGACGGCTTGGATGTAGCCTCCGATGTTGACTGTGGGACGGGGGCAGAGGGTTTCAGTCTGCACCACACCAACGTCTCAGCTGGAATAGGAACCATACTTACAGTCCTTCAGGTTGAATTCACAGGGAGCCTTGGCGGACCACAGTCTCATGGTGTTAACGATGTTGTTCCTGTAGCCGGGAACCGGCGTGTCGTAGGGGAGGGCCAGAACCACCTGGGTCAAGACAACGGAAAGGTTTACCCTACTTGTTTTTAGGTTCGTCTTCAGGGTTATCAAACATGGTGACATTTAAAATAATGGTTCCACCAGAAAAAATATTTCTCAATGCCTTTCTGTCATATAAATACAAAAAATTGTATTCCCAATTTATAGTTTGAGAGCTGTGGTTATTAACACCGACGCCACAGTGACGGCTGCTGAGTAACGTCCAGCAGGGTTGCCAGATGTAACTGACTCACGTTTTCCAGCCCAAAAAATGTAGATAAACCGCCTTGATATATGAAATCTCACCAAATTTGAACCAAAGTCTATTGATCTCTTAGGTCAAAAATCTAAAGAAAACCATTTTTTCCTCATAGATGGTAATCTTAAACTGCCAGATTGGGAAACATCCCAACCTGGCAACAATGAACGTAAGACGGGAAACGTTAGACTTTAGAAGCAAAACCCCATCATGCACCGCAACATGTTTTTGCAAAATATTCAAACATAAATTTGCCAAATATAAGAAGAACATCTTAGTTTGGTTTAAAGAAAGCAGTTTAGTTTTATTATAATTTAGTTTGTTGCAAGGATTTTACAGTTTGAAGAAATAGAAAATGACACCATATGCCAACCGTCACCGGGCTATAGATACTGCATGCATCATTTAGGTAGTTAACATTGGATTACTTCTTGAGCTCCTTGAGTTATTTACTGTCACAGGTAGGAGCTTCGGATTTTAGGACGCATTTTTTTTTTCTGTCCACATTGAACAGAGCACAGCGACTCGGTCAGGTCAGTGAAACAAAGAACAAGAACTGGCGGGTAGATAGAAGCCCCTTCTGATCAATTTTCCAGTAAAGCAAGCTGGTTAGAACTTTACCAAGGTGCCCGCAGTATGGCAAGCATTTTAAGATATAATTGGTATAGTGGATATTTGTTATATGCAGTATAATTTTGCCTTTTCAAAACTGAAGGTTGTTATCGGTAACTGCAGTTCTGCGCTAAACATGCTAAATGAATGTTAAAACTGCTTGCCATGCTTGCAGATAATTAGCGATGGGGATCAGACATTTCAACCCACCAAGGAAAACCAAGCAGAAAAATTACAGCATTTGAAAATAGTGAATGAATTAGATTAAAAAATAATAATAAATCCTCATCTGTTCAGTCTAGAATTATGACATTAGCTGGTTTTCAGTCAGTCACATGACCTAAAAAATATCAGAAAGAAAACATTTAGTTTAAAGACATAATGAAAAAAAAAAAGAATAGAAAAGGAGATTTTTCTTCTCTTTCCAGAAAGACTCATCGCTGGGATCATTGAGCCAACACTACAGGGAAGTACGGCTGTACGGCGATGGGAGTTTTACTTTAAATGGGTTTTAAAGAACTTTTTCTACTGATTTTGGTGCAAAATGAATATCAGCAACATATAAACCAGAAACTTCTTATAAAATCAGCCTCATCTGAATCTGTATAAACCACCAAATCTTCGCCAAAGGCAGGAATTGATGGCGTGCATCTGATCCTACCAACCTGTGTGTCGACCCATTTCACTCCTTCCGGTGTGTGCTCCACCCTGCCGTAGAAGTGGACCGGACGCATGTACTCTGGGCGGGCCTTCTCCCAGGGGTTACCGTAGCGCAGCCAATCGTCTGCTTCCTCTACCTGTGAGGAGGAGTCAGGAGGCCAGCGGCGCACAGAGAGCTGTTACTACACAGTCAACACTAAATCCACCCATCATACCTTCCTCACATCGACCCGCCAGCCTCCACTTAGAAAATGAAATAAAAGGTTCAACAGGATGAATCGCTCTAAAGTGGGTGGGGCTTTGCATGTGGAACGGATAAAAACAAAAAATAACAGCAGTTTCTACAATAAATCATGAGGGTAAGATAACTTCATTACAACGTAAGCATGAATCTCTAAATTTATAAATGTAAGTCAGTAAACAAATTAAAATATGTATATTTGTTGTTTTTAGCTCGTACACACATGAAATCCCATGTTTGATCTGTGAGAATACAAGTTTAGGTGTTACAAGTAAAAATCTCCACCCACTGATGAAGCTGTTCCACTCCTCACCAGCTGGTGGCAGCAAAACACCTGAAGGTTGTTTGTCAACCAGAATTGAACAAGAAGATGAAAGAGGAACAATTTTATGTTTCCTCATTGCTGAAATGTTTTGGGCGAATGTGTAGTGTAATGTTCGACCGATTGATTCTGATTCATGAATTATTATTAGGGCCAGGCTAGAGATTTTTTTTTTTTTTTTTGTTTTCAACACGAGAATAAGGTCAACGTTTTGAAAATAATGTAGTAACTTTATAAAGTCGCAACATTACAAGAATAATGTCGCAACATTACAAGAATAATGTCGCAACATTACAAGAATATAGTAGTGATATTAGAAGAATAAAGTCGCAACATTACCAGAATAAAGTCGTAACATTATAAGAATAAAGTCGCAACATTACAAGAATAATGTCGCAACATTACAAGAATAAAGTTGCAACATTAAGAGAATAAAGTCGCAACATTACGAGAATAATGTTGCAACATTACGAGAATAAAGTCGCAACATTACAAGAATAAAGTCGCAACATTACAAGAATAATGTCGCAACATTACCAGAATAAAGTCGTAATATTGCAAGAAAAAAGTCGCAACATTACAAGAATAATGTCGCAACATTACAAGAATAATGTCGCAACATTACGAGAATAAAGATGCAACATTACGACAATTAAGTCGCAACATTACAAGAATAAGGTCGCAACATTACGAGAATAATGTCGCAACATTACGAGAATAATGTCGCAACATTACGAGAATAATGTCGCAACATTACAAGAATAATGTCGCAACATTACAAGAATAATGTCGCAACATTACAAGAATAATGTCGCAACATTACAAGAATAATGTCGCAACATTACAAGAATAAAGTCGCAACATTACAAGAATATAGTAGTGATATTAGAAGAATAAAGTCGCAACATTACCAGAATAAAGTCGTAACATTATAAGAATAAAGTCGCAACATTACAAGAATAATGTCGCAACATTACCAGAATAAAGTTGCAACATTAAGAGAATAAAGTCGCAACATTACGAGAATAATGTCGCAACATTACGAGAATAAAGTCGCAACATTACAAGAATAAAGTCGCAACATTACAAGAATAAAGTCGCAACATTACAAGAATAATGTCGCAACATTACCAGAATAAAGTCGTAATATTGCAAGAAAAAAGTCGCAACATTACAAGAATAATGTCGCAACATTACAAGAATAATGTCGCAACATTACGAGAATAAAGATGCAACATTACAACAATTAAGTCGCAACATTACAAGAATAAGGTCGCAACATTACGAGAATAATGTCGCAACATTACGAGAATAATGTCGCAACATTACGAGAATAATGTCGCAACATTACGAGAATAATGTCGCAACATTACAAGAATAATGTCGCAACATTACAAGAATAAAGTTGTAACATTATAAGAATAAAATCGCAACCTTAAAAGAATAAAGTTGCAACATTACAAGAATAAAGTCGCAACTTTACAAGAATAATGTTGCAACATTACGAGAATAAAGATGCAACATTACGACAATAAATTCGCAACATTACAAGAATAAAATCGTAACATTACAAGAATAAAATCGTAACATTACAAGAATAAAATCGCAACATTACAAGAATAATGTCGCAACATTAAAAGAATAAAGTCGCAACATTACAAGAATAAAGTTGTAATATTATGAGAATAAAGTCACAACAATATGAGAATAAAGTCATAATATTACAAGAAAAAAGTTGCAAAATTACGAGAATAAAGTTGTAATATTACAAAAATAAAGTTGCAACATTATGAGAATAAAATCGTAACATTATGAGAATAAAATCGTAACATTATGAGAGTAAAGTTGCAACATTTTGAGAATAAAGTCATAATATTATGAGAATAAAATCGTAACACTACGAGTGTAAAGTCGGAAATTTAACAGAACAAAGTCAAACCTATGAGAATAAAGTAGAAAAATTACGAGAATGAAGACGTCATACCACAAACCAATTCAGAAAGAAAGCTTCGAGCTCCGACCAGCATATAACCGCTTCGATACGGACATTGTTGTTTATTGTGATACCGATGATAATTTGATGCCGTTGCTTTAAAAGACTTTATATTTCCTTATTTGTCAAACCGTTTCCAAAGTATAACTTGACATGATGTTCGACATTCCTCATTTTAGGGAAGAAAGGGCTTCTTGGAACAGTTGTCAAAAAAATTGCCACTTTATTCCCTTTAATATCAGGACTTTATTCCCTTTAATAATAGGACTTTATTCCCTTTAATATCAGGACTTTATTCCCTTTAATATCAGGACTTTATTCCCTTTAATATTAGGACTTTATTCCCTTTAATAATAGGACTTTATTCCCTTTAATAATAGGACTTTATTCCCTTTAATATCAGGACTTTATTCCCTTTAATAATAGGACTTTATTCCCTTTAATATCAGGACTTTATTCCCTTTAATATTAGGACTTTATTCCCTTTAATAATAGGACTTTATTCCCTTTAATATCAGGACTTTATTCCCTTTAATATCAGGACTTTATTCCCTTTAATATTAGGACTTTATTCCCTTTAATAATAGGACTTTATTCCCTTTAATAATAGGACTTTATTCCCTTTAATAATAGGACTTTATTCCCTTTAATAATAGGACTTTATTCCCTTTAATAATAGGACTTTATTCCCTTTAATAATAGGACTTTATTCCCTTTAATAATAGGACTTTATTCCCTTTAATATTAGGACTTTATTCCCTTTAATAATAGGACTTTATTCCCTTTAATATCAGGACTTTATTCCCTTTAATAATAGGACTTTATTCCCTTTAATATCAGGACTTTATTCCCTTTAATATCAGGACTTTATTCCCTTTAATATCAGGACTTTATTCCCTTTAATAATAGGACTTTATTCCCTTTAATATCAGGACTTTATTCCCTTTAATATTAGGACTTTATTCCCTTTAATATCAGGACTTTATTCCCTTTAATATCAGGACTTTATTCCCTTTAATATCAGGACTTTATTCCCTTTAATAATAGGACTTTATTCCCTTTAATATCAGGACTTTATTCCCTTTAATATTAGGACTTTATTCCCTTTAATATCAGGACTTTATTCCCTTTAATAATAGGACTTTATTCCCTTTAATATCAGGACTTTATTCCCTTTAATATCAGGACTTTATTCCCTTTAATAATAGGACTTTATTCCCTTTAATATCAGGACTTTATTCCCTTTAATATCAGGACTTTATTCCCTTTAATAATAGGACTTTATTCCCTTTAATATCAGGACTTTATTCCCTTTAATAATAGGACTTTATTCCCTTTAATATCAGGACTTTATTCCCTTTAATATCAGGACTTTATTCCCTTTAATAATAGGACTTTATTCCCTTTAATATCAGGACTTTATTCCCTTTAATAATAGGACTTTATTCCCTTTAATATCAGGACTTTATTCCCTTTAATATCAGGACTTTATTCCCTTTAATAATAGGACTTTATTCCCTTTAATAATAGGACTTTATTCCCTTTAATATCAGGACTTTATTCCCTTTAATATCAGGACTTTATTCCCTTTAATAATAGGACTTTATTCCCTTTAATATCAGGACTTTATTCCCTTTAATATTAGGACTTTATTCCCGTAATGATGCAACTTTATTTTCATAATATTACAAATTTATTTTTGTAATTTTATGGCTTTATTCTCATAATATTATGACTTTATTTACGGAATATTATGACTATAATGTTACAACATTATTCTCAAAATGTTATGACCTTATTCTCATATCTGAAAAAAGAAAAATCTGTAGTTTGGCCCTTATACTCTATCGTAATAAATTTCCAGTTTTTACTGATTTACGATTTATAGCCATCTGTAACAGGCTGAAAAAGGGACGTAGCTAAAGAAACCCTCCTACTGCTATAACGGGCGAGACAAACCTATAAAATTACACGTTTAAAATTTCAGAATTGTGTCAGATTTTGGATCTTAAACTAAATCATGAAAGGTGAGGAAGTCCAGTGTCCTGCTGTCCAATGAGGTCCAGCAGAGAAAATAACATCTTTCATTGTTGGTACATACCTGCCAGCCATTGACGATTTTCTGATTGAAGATGCCGAACTCGTAACGGATTCCGTATCCGTAAGCTGCAAGTCCCAGAGAAGCCATGGAGTCCAGGAAACAAGCTGTGGGAGATGAGTTTCTGACATGTGAGACAGTCTGTAGGGATAATCTGCGTTGGTTTTAATCCAGAACTCACCAGCAAGGCGACCCAGCCCTCCATTTCCCAAGCCGGCATCTTCCTCGATGTCCTGCAGCTCCTCCATGTCCAGACCCAGCTGAGGAACAACACATGGATTCAGCAAAGCTTGTAACTGTACGGCCCTGCCAGATCCATCCGGATGATTTTATTCTGAAAGGTTGATCTTTGCTTTGTTAACGCGGAACAGGAAGCTGGGCCTTCAGATCTTGGCTCTTCATAGGTGGTAGCAGCTTCTAGATAAAGCTCTAGATAAACGCCCCAAGTTCAAACCTCCCTGTTAAATCTATCATTTGCTTCTGACTCATTGTCCTATTGTTAGCCTCATTATTGCCTCATTTATTCTCCCCCCTCCTCTGTTTATTGCCTCTCCTCCCTTTATTCATTTGTTTATCATCATGCATTTCATCCCACAATGTTTGCATTTTACTTTCATATTAATCCTGTTTCTGGATTTACTCAGGGTGCGTAGTAACTTCTAAATGCTTTGTGTTGTCCAAAAATTATTACTTAAATTTTATTTTGAGTAAAAAGTCAGAATTCAGAATTCTGAGAAAAAAAGTCAGAATTCTGAGATAAAAGTCAGAATTCTGAGCAAAAAGTCAGAATTCAGAGTAAAAAGTCAGAATTCAGAATTCTGAGAAAAAAAGTCAGAATTCTGAGATAAAAGTCAGAATTCTGAGTAAAAAGTCAGAATTCTGAGTAAAAAGTCAGAATTCTGAGTAAAAAGTCAGAATTCTGAGTAAAAAGTCAGAATTCTGAGATAAAAGTCAGAATTCTGAGCAAAAAGTCAGAATTCAGAATTCTGAGTAAAAAGTCAGAATTCAGAATTCTGAGAAAAAAAGTCAGAATTCTGAGATAAAAGTCAGAATTCTGAGTAAAAAGTCAGAATTCTGAGTAAAAAGTCAGAATTCTGAGTAAAAAGTCAGAATTCTGAGAAAAAAAGTCAGAATTCTGAGTAAAAAGTTAGAATTCTGAATTCAGAATAAAAAGTCAGAATTCTTAATTCTGAGTAAAAAAGTCAGAATTCTGAGTAAAAAGTTAGAATTCTGAATTCAGAATAAAAAGTCAGAATTCTTAATTCTGAGTAAAAAAGTCAGAATTCTGAGTAAAAAGTCAGAATTCTGAGTAAAAAGTCAGAATTCTGAGTAAAAAGTCAGAATTCTGAGATAAAAGTCAGAATTCTGAGCAAAAAGTCAGAATTCAGAATTCTGAGTAAAAAGTCAGAATTCAGAATTCTGAGAAAAAAAGTCAGAATTCTGAGATAAAAGTCAGAATTCTGAGTAAAAAGTCAGAATTCTGAGTAAAAAGTCAGAATTCTGAGAAAAAAAGTCAGAATTCTGAGTAAAAAGTTAGAATTCTGAATTCAGAATAAAAAGTCAGAATTCTGAATTCTGAGCAAAAAGTCAGAATTCTTAATTCTGAGTAAAAAAGTCAGAATTCAGAATTCAGAGAAAAAAAAGTCCGAATTCAGAATTCAGAGAAAAAAAAGTCCGAATTCAGAATTCAGAGAAAAAAAGTCCGAATTCAGAATTCTGAGAAAAAAAAGTCACAATTCTGAGAAAAAAGTCAGAATTCTGGCTTTTTTCCCCATATTAAACTGAAATAAAATCTAAAAATTAGTTTCTATTTTTTCAGTGGCCCTAATCCTCTTCCATAGTTCATAGTCACCTGGTAGCATGGTAGTGTGTCATCTGCATCGCTATGGTAACTTAGACTTAATAAAATTTAAGTTAGGGGAAGCATGTATATGTTGAACGGGACTCGTCCTACGATGGAGCCTTGGAGAATGCAAAGAGGCCCAGGACCCTGTTTGCAACTAACCAACAATGCTAAAAAACATTTCATTTAAAATTTGCTTCTAAAATTATTTTGTTACATTTATTCCCGTCAAATATCATTACGTTAGTTTGGCATAAGAATATCGACTTGTGAAACTTTAAAACTTGCTGATGATAGAAATGGATTTGGATTTCACAGTCATTATGATGTAATACCTGAAATCTATGGTGGGCCAAACTATGAGGTAAAACAAAAATTCAAAAGTTCTATTAAACCAATAACTGTACCATGAAGAAAATATATTTTCTATTTATCTAATACATGATAAAAATACGAATTAAACAATTGAAAACACAGTGATGTAATTTAAAGTGTATTTCTAGGGACATATTGAGTCACAGGGTGAGATGTTTGGGAAGCTGTTTCAGAGACGGAGCTGAAGTTTAGTTCTGGAAACACTTTCAAAGCACCGATAGAGAGAATCACTGATCTTCTTTACCTGGTAGATGGCCTCGTCACATGCGTTCTCCAAGCCCAGGTTCACCATGGTGTTCTGCAGAGTCCGACCCATGTAGAACTCCAGGGAGAGATAGTAGACCCGCTGAAGGAAAGCAGAAAACAAGCAGTGAACAAAGAGATTTATTTTAGACATGAGATTTATTCACTCCACATGTTGGAAAACATCTACTTTGCTCTGACTGAACTAAAAGGAGGCGACAGCAACAGAAAACAGACATGAACTGACAGCAGTGTTTGGGCAGAAGGATGTGGAGCGATACTCCAAACTGGACGCCAGTTACATCTTTGATTTCACAGTAAAAATAAAGAAAAACAAGATCACCTCCCGATAGAAAACGTCTCAATAAGGCTCGGGCACATGACGTCACACGTTGCGCGGCAGCCATATTGAAAGCTGGTCAGCCCATTGTTTACACTTCGACTTCGCGCCTGTAAGGACTTGCTTTCTTCTGCTAGTAGTTTGCTTAGTTTTTTGCCGTTTCATTTTACCTCTGCTGTCGTTATGGTCGCCCGTTGCTGTGTCGTAGGGTGTAGTAGCTCAAGCTGTGACTGAACGGGGAAAAAAATCCCAAATGGATTGTCTTTTTACCGTTTTCCAACCTGGAGGCGTCTCAATGGAAAACAAATGTCCTCCATAACAAAGAGTCGCCGGCTAGCATGGGTCGCTGCTGTAAGACGGCCAAATATAACTTTCAACTCAATCCCAATGTCCATGAGAGTGTGTTCCCGGCATTTTCATTCTGGTAAGTTACAGAACATACTTACCTTGGCTCTGATGACTGTGTTCTCATTCGGTTTGATAACTTCCATGTCGTGAACTTTTCCGTCTGTCAGCTGTTTGTAAGCCTCTAGCGACTTGTAGCAGCGAAATTCTTCATGTGTGTAGGCACTGACGCCACACACTAGATAGGAAAATATGTCCTCCCTCGCAAACGGCGGTAGAAATTCTTCCCCAACGCACCAGTCCTTGCTTGCTACTTCGTAGGGATCAAGTCCGTTTATGAAGCCCATCTTTTGCAGATAACGGTCCCTGGCTTCCCTCTGCAGTGTGTCTCGGTATATTCAGCATCCTTTCTTCGCTTTTAACATCACTGTTTACTCGTCTTTGTGCTTTCTCTGTGCTGTTTTAGGTCTTTGTTTACCGTAGCAACTAGCTGCTAATTTGGCGGCGTACCCAGAATGCAACGCGCTGTGCCCGAGCCTTATTATTCATTTAAGGCAGTGATCACCGGGAAGGTGGTGGCCTAGTGGTTAGAGCATTGCCCTGGGATCCCTGAGGTTCTGGGTTTGACTCCCAATGACTGCCACTCAGGCTCCTTGAGCAAGGCTGTCAGACACAGACTGCACTCTGGTGCCTTTTAATAATATTCTAAAGTATCATTGATTTATCTTTGCTGCTGCTGCAACAGGCTGAAAAATATGGAGAGAAATTTATTCCAATATTATTAACCCTCTTAATATCCACCTCATTTTGGGGAATTCTCGTCTATTCTGCATCCCCAGATGGAAAAGCAAATAACTGAGGAACTGTGAGCCCACATTATTTGAAAGTTAACATCTTCTAGTTTCTGAACATATACATGAAAATTGGGTGAGTAGAACACCCAAGCTGCATCACTTCAAACAAGAATTAATTCTCAAAAATAATAGTTTTTTTTTTTTTAACAGCAGTTATAAAGACCTGCTTGCTTGTTGTGGCTGCTTTGTCATGCTGCTATATCTGTGTTAACTGTGCTTTGGTGCTCGCTGTGTCCATAAAATGAATTTGGTGGTTGAATTGTGGAGAATCTAAGCTTTCCAACGACGTCTAACATGACTGGATTAGTAAACATTTTACCAGTATAATTTTCATGCATTCTGAGTTATTTGTAAACGCTTTAAATCGTGGGTTTTGAGAGGTTAAAGCAAAGAACATATTTTACAAAGTTTATACAGGAATGAGTAACTCTAATTTAATACTTTTTAATGCTTTTTTAATGCTTTTAGAAATAGCTAATGCAATCAACAAGTACCTATGATTCTCATTTTATATATATACACTATATTGCCAAAAGTATTTGCTCACCTGCCTTGACTCACATATGAGCTTAAGTGACATCCCGTTCCTAATCCATAGGGTTCAATATGACGTCGGTCCACCCTTTGCAGCTAGAACAGCTTCAACTCTTCTGGGAAGGCTGTCCACAAGGTTTAGGAGTGTGTTTATGGGAATTTTTGACCATTCTTCCAGAAGCGCATTTGTGAGGTCGCACACTGATGTTGGACGAGAAGGCCTGGCTCTCAGTCTCCGCTCTAATTCATCCCAAAGGTGTTCTATCGGGTTGAGGTCAGGACTCTGTGCAGGCCAGTCAAGTTCATCCACACCAGACTCTGTCATCCATGTCTTTATGGACCTTGCTTTGTGCACTGGTGCACAGTCATGTTGGAAGAGGAAGGGGCCAGCTCCAAACTGTTCCCACAAAGTTGGGAGCATGGAATTGTCCAAAATGTCTTGGGATGCTGAAGCATTCAGAGTTCCTTTCACTGGAACTAAGGGGCCAAGCCCAGCTCCTGAAAAACAATCCCACACCATAATCCCCCCTCCAACAAACTTTACACTTGGCACAATGCAGTCAGACAAGTACCGTTCTCCTGGCAACCGCCAAACCCAGACCCGTCCATCAGATTGCCAGATGGAGAAGCGCGATTCGTCACTCCAGAGAACGCGTCTCCACTGCTCTAGAGTCCAGTGGCGGCGTGCTTTACACCACCGCATCCGACGCTTTGCATTGCACTTGGTGATGTATGGCTTGGATGCAGCTGCTCGACCATGGAAACCCATTCCATGAAGCTCTCTGCGCACTGTTCTTGAGCTAATCTGAAGGCCACATGAAGTTTGGAGGTCTGTAGTGATTGACTCTGCAGAAAGTTGGCGACCTCTTCGCACTATGCGCGTCAGCATCCGCTGACCCCGCTCCGTCAGTTTACGTGGCCTACCTCTTCGTGGCTGAGTTGCTGTCGTTCCCAAACACTTCCATTTTCTTATAATACAGCTGACAGTTGACTGTGGAATATTTAGGAGCGAGGAAATTTCACGACTGGATTTGTTGCACAGGTGGCATCCTATCACAGTTCCACGCTGGAATTCACTGAGCTCCTGAGAGCGACCCATTCTTTCACAAATGTTTGTAAAAACAGTCTGCATGCCTAGGTGCTTGAATTTATACACCTGTGGCCATGGAAGTGATTGGAACACCTGATTCCAATAATTTGGATGGGTGAGCAAATACTTTTGGCAATATAGTGTATATATATATTAGTGGTGTCATGAGATTAGCCGAGGCTTCAAGGCGTGAGTCGAGTAATGGAGGGGGCGTTTCCACGAAGCGCGTGTCGAGGCGTGATTCATTTAGAGGCGGGGCCAAAATTGATGACGTCCGCTTCGGGAAGTGGCTCAAAAAGCGCAAGAATTTAGACAGGCATCTAAAGAGCCTCAGTGTTCAGTCAAGATGTGGGAGTTTGGAGGAGAGATGCTGTCAGCTGGATAAAGTTTGGATAGATTCTAAGAATAGATTGGTTGTTTTTCCAACAAATCTAGTTGCTTAAAGCTAATTTGGTCAGAATAAACAATGTAATGATGAAAATTTGAGCAAACCACCGAACAAATCCAGTGTTAACACGTCATTGTTAAGGAGTATTTTCTCTCAACAACTGATATCTTCTTAAGTGGCGTCCTCTGTAAGATACAGGCTCCCACTCTAGAGGTTGATGGTTCAAGACCTGTCTTTTACTTTTGAAATTTGCGATTAAATTTAATCATTTTGGCTGATGAGACTACAGGTGCTGGTCATAAAATTAGAATATCATGAAAAAGTAGATTGATTTCAGTAATTCCATTTAAAAAGTGAAACTTGTATATTATATTCATACATTACATACAAACTCATATATTTCAGATGTTTATTTTGTTTAATTTTGATGATTACAAATGACAACAAATGAAAATCTCAAATTCATCATATCAGAAAATTAGAATATTGTGAAAAGGTTCAAAATTGATGGCCCCTGGTGCCACACTCTAATCAGCTAATTAACTCAAACCACCTGCAAAAGCCTTTAAATGGTCTTTCAGTCTAGTTCTATAGGCTACACAATCATGGGGAAGACTGCTGACTTGACAGTTGTCCAAAAGACGACCATCGACACCTTGCACAAGGAGGGCAAGACACAAAAGGTCATCGCTAAAGAGGCTGGCTGTTCACAGAGCTCAGTGTCCAAGCACATTAATAGAGAGGCGAAGGGAAGGAAAAGATGTGGTCGAAAAAAGTGTACAAGCAAGAGAGATAACCGCACCCTGGAGAGGATTGTGAAACAAAACCCCTTCAAAAATGTGGGGGAGATTCACAAAGAGTGGACTGCAGCTGGAGTGAGTGCTTCAAGAACCACCACACACAGACGTATGAAAGACATGGGTTTCTGCTGTCGCATTCCTTGTGTCAAGCCACTCTTGAACCACAGACAGCGTCAGAAGCGTCTTGCCTGGGCTAAAGAGAAACAGGACTGGACTGCTGGTGAGTGGTCCAAAGTCATGTTCTCTGATGAAAGTAAATTTTGCATTTCCTTTGGAAATCAAGGTCCCAGAGTCTGGAGGAAAAGAAGAGAGGCACTTCATCCACGTTGCTTGAAGTCCAGTGTAAAGTTTCCACAGTCAGTGATGGTTTGGGGTGCCATGTCATCTGCTGGTGTTGGTCCATTGTGTTTTCTGAGGTCCAGTGTCAACGCAGCCACATACCAGGAAGTTTTAGAGCACTTCATGCTTCCTGCAGCTGACCAACTTTTTGGAGATGCAGATTTCATTTTCCAACAGGACTTGGCACCTGCACACAGTGCCAAAGCTACCAGTACCTGGTTGAAGGACCATGGTATCCCTGTTCTTAATTGGCCAGCAAACTCTCCTGACCTTAACCCCATAGAAAATCTATGGGGTATTGTGAAGAAGAAGATGCAATACACCAGACCCAACAATTCAGAAGAGCTAAAAGCCACTATTAGAGCAACCTGGGCTATCATAACACCTGAGCAGTGCCACAGACTGATCGACTC